CGAACATCTCGCTGGCAACAATATTTGTTTCGCGGTGGTCGGCAACACGGCTTTACGAGGACGTAAGGATAAGTTAGTCCATTAAAGCCGGCGGCACTGTACGAAGAGCTACTAAGCGTGGTACAGTCCGTAAGGCTTTGCGAACTACATCGTGCAGCAGATTTCCGTTTGCTATATTACAAGTCGAGATTAACATTAATCAATCAATATGCCGTTAATAACGTGCAAGCCACACGAATTTGGTAAGATCCACGGCAACATCGTGATATACTGAGAAAAATTGTTGTCGTCCAACTTGGGATAGTAATTTGGTGGGAATCTGGTGTTTTGCCGACGGAGATACGACGATAAACGCGTTGCTAATTCTACTTGGTTTATCCTGGGAGGACAGCTGTATAGCTGTATGGACAGCCTTACAGACATTAATTCGTCCCAAAATGTCGCCTGAGACACAGGTAACATTCGACAAACATTCAAACGACATTCCATTAATACAGCATTCATACAACTACACGCAAAACGTCCCCCAAGCAACGTCATTGACTTGGCATGTGAAGCAGTGCAGCAGTGCACGACAAATACATGTATGAAATCCGCTGTTGTGATCATCACGCTGACTTCAGAAAGCAAAAAACTGCGCAAGTATCGTCGTCAAGACCACCGGAGAGCTTCTCGCCTAAGATCTCAACGCAAATGAACGCGCTGTTTTCGCTTGCCCTCATTGAACCATGAAAAATCTTGCACCAACTTGGTTCGTCGCAGCTTACGACGCCTGGCTCAGATGCGCAAAGCGTGATGGATGAGTGTCATTTCGGAGTCGATACGATCGCGCTGCATCGTCGACCCCATTGTAAAGTTTTCGTAGTTAACAACTGGTACTTCCACTGGTAGCCCTGGTATTGGATGCGGCTGGCCTATCTGCCAATGTAAGTTGCGAAGCGCAACACGAGCAGTGTATGACTGATGAAGATCTGCACCCCTATCGGTACGGATATTTTGTCGTTGGAGCTCCAGCACAAATATTAGACAATGGCGCTGGAAATTTGGCATGGGGGGGGGTTGCCAATGGAACGTTATGCTACATGCATTCACTGGGTTGGGATACAATTGACCAAGCGTCTGCTGCTCACAATGCAATTCAAGACGCACTAGTTCATCACCGGACGTTGGTAGATTTGCCCAATCCACCTGAATTTATCAATGTCACACTTGTACAACCGAACGGAGCTGAAACAAGTGGAGAAAAATGGCCTTCTGAGGCAAATTTGGAACATGAATTCGAAGTAAATTCTCGTGGAATCCGTCACAAACGACGCGTTATCATTCCGATAGGACTTCTTCCAGCCAAGGTCGACACTTGCTATGTTAAATTCTCTCAACTGAACGCTAAGATCGAGAAGCAGTATCAATACATCATGCACGCAGTCGATCTCGCCTTCGTTCAAACGGTTTGGAAAGCTCAAGGTGCAACTCTAAAAAGAGTTGCGTTATTACTAGAGGATTCACAGCCGAAACCTGTTTGGGCATTCGAACATCTTTACGTCGGAACCACGCGCGTCCAGACTGCAGACGGACTTCGTTGTCTCCCTCTCACGTCTTCGTATAATCGGAACAAGCTACTTAGCTTACGTCCCAACATATACACAGTCAAGTGGTTGATGAGCATCGACGAAACGGTTTCTGGAAAGCAAGAGAATAATGGAATTCATTACCGTACATAATAAAAGAAAAAAATATATTATTACTTAGTACTTTTTAACCTTTTCAGAAAAACAAAAGGTCCTCCCAGCCTAACGCTACGCACCCTTGTTAGCAGCAGCTGAACATGTGCAGTTTTTAACTTCGTTTCGACACCAAGCGACACAAACATGCCCAGAGTGAATGAGTTATCTGCGCGATTGCTGCCATTGTCGCCGTTGTCATCACCTGGATCTTCCTTACCCAGTGTTTATTCGCCGGGAACGGCAACGCGTGAGAAGCCACAATCTCGGCAAAGAAAGAAGAAAACGCAAAACTCCATGCTTCAAGCAACAAATTGTGAACAGACAAGCCAAGATGAAAACCATACCCAACCAATTACTAAATCGAATGGAGACGACATCAATGCCTGGCCAGTTCTTGTAGCTGTGCGCTGTCGCCCTCGAAAACGTCGACGAGCTAAAAGTCGATTTGCTGCTGTTCAAGATGAGGACGAGGAAATACGACGTTCTGGTATCATAGATTCTAGCGATAGCAGCGACGTCAGTAGTAGCAGCAACGAAAGGGGATATCACAGAGTTCAGCGGGGTGTATTCGAGTACCCTGCAAACAGAGACTATGACTACGCAGCAACCTACGACACAAAGATCCCACCGCCGCGTATGCAGCGTCCACGCCGCCTGTACGTGCAAGCTCATACCACTGGGAACAGCTCTGGTCGACGAAGCTTCGACTTCGACTTCATCTTCCCGCCATGGACGAAACAACGTGAAGTGTACGACAAGTGCGTACGATCACAAATCGACCACGTTTTGCAGTCACAGCAGCGAGGACAAATGCAACACGCGACGCTTGTTGCTTACGGTCAAACTGGCACTGGTAAAACTTACACTATGGGCATGCTGAGCGATTTCTCGGACTACAAAGAGCAGGGATTAATTCCACGAGCGATATCTCAAATTCTAGAGTTTGCAGACAGCGTGGAGAGCGAAGAAGATGGGCGGGAAACGGTAGTGACGTTGTCGTTTGTACAGATTTACCTCGAGACAATCCAAGATCTTCTAGCTCTGCCTGGCACGGCTCGGGGAAAGCCACACTCTCGATCTGGCACTTCTAGCGGCGACCTACCTGTACGTCAAGGACGTGACGGAGCATTCTACGTCGCCGATCTAAACGAGTACGAGATTTCGTCAATAGAAGACGCACATGCACTGCTCGAACTTGCGATGCGTAACCGCGTCTTGGCTGCGACCACGAAAAACAAAACCTCGTCTCGTAGCCATACGCTGCTCACAATTTCGATCAAGTATCGTCGAGATACTAGCAGAAGCTGATATTCCTCCAGCGAAGAGGAAGACGATGAAATCAGCAATGCTGACGAAGGTGATCCCAATCAAGCGTCGACAATCTCGTTCGTAGACTTGGCTGGTTCCGAGCGTGTGGATGGAGCGCTACATTTTCTTCGGGCCACTCGAGCTCGACAGGAGCAACGAATCCGTGAGGCGAAATTCATTAATCGTTCGCTGAGTGCGTTAGGTGGTGTGATCGCTGCACTAGCGCAACCGAAACCTGATGCTACCGGATCGACTTCTGCGAATGTTTTGGCTCGGTTAAATCGTTCTTTTCAGGATAAAATGCCGCATCCGGTCAGGAATGAGCAGGGGCAACCACATATCCGTTTTCGAGATTCGCAGCTTACAAAGTTACTGCAAGGGCGACTTATCGGTGGCCGTGGACGTCTACTGCTGATCGCGACTGTGGACGATCAAGCGAAAAATCTTTCAGAGACGCTATCGACTTTAAAGTTTGCATCGCAATGCCGTCGAGTGGAGCTTGAAGAAGGATCAAGACTTGGTGGGGACAGGAATGATCGAGTGAGACGTCAAAAAGCTTTGCTTGACAAGGTGCTTAACGAAATGAAGAAAATGCACGAGAACCGGGAGGCAGCGCTGCATGTAGGTTGTGCATTTGGTATCGTGATCCAAGGGTTACTTATCTGCTCCTGTTTGCTTGATATGCAGAGTGAATACCAAGCGCGAATTGAAGCTTTAGAACGCGAGTTAGAAAGTGTTCGAGCATCGGCTCAGTCGTTATCGTGCTCAACACCAGAAGATGTAGTACCCACGAATCTTGCATCGTACACGGCACTCTGCTCACTAGTGGACGCTGTTTGTTCCATTGATGATGACGACGTTCAATGTAGAGAAAGCAAGCATCCAAAAGCTATCGATTTCCAGACCGAGAAGGATATGCTCGAGTACGTTGCTGGACTTTACAGTCGGCTGAAGGAAGCACTAGTTACGCAGCAGCAACTGGGGCGGCGCTTTTCCGCTCCAATAAATACAGGTGCTATTGGAATTGACACCAGAACAGGCTCCGTTTCATCACAACAGCCTTCCACGCACGATCAACATTACAATGTCGCCAAGCAATCACTCCCTCTTCGGGCATCGGCTCAATCTTCCGACTCGACCAGGACAAGTACCCGGCGAGCACGCATTGAGTTGTCATCTGACCAAGAGACTGAGTTCCGTGCTGTCGCTCGCCATCTAATACTGACGCGAGCTTTGGACTCTTTCGTTGTCAGCTCATCTGATGAAGATGAATAGACAAGCTTTGAAAATGCATCGAAACAAGTCAAGAGCCAATTCATGTCGACCCATCTCATTGGTTTTCTTGTATTGTATCCCTCTTCTTTGCATGTAGTTGTAATTATGTTTGCTCGAGACAATGTGCAATGCCTCTCAGTCGACGTGAAAGTCACGTCACATGGACGAGCGCGACGCGATGAGCGTCATGGCGGCGGCTCGCGGGATCCGCAGCGACTTTTGTAGGTTGGAGAGACACTGTTCGTGTAAGTAGTCGCGAAGCAGCGTCTTGAGTGAGCGACACGCGAACTGATAGAGTTGCTGGTAGCTCTCGGGCTGCGTGGCAAGCTGTTGGGGCGACACGTGGAACTCCTGGAGGCACAGATTAAGCCACAGTGCGTCATCGTTGCTCAGGCGGTGCCAAGAGCGGCACACACTGCGTGCTGAGCAGAGCGACGGGCCATCTAGGAAGCTCAGCACCACGTGGACGTTCTCGTCGCATGTGAAGTCCAAGAGGCTCAACGGGCGTCTAGGCTCGGCTATGGGGACGTCACAAGGGCTCAACGAGCGTAGCCACTCGGCCACGGCGCATGCTTCGGGCGACAGAGCGCCACCCACAGGGGCAACCAGTGGGTGGAGGATAATTGCACGAGATGTAGGGAGGCTCATTGCCTGGAGAAGAAGGGTGAAGTGCTACTCGCAGGGCCGCAACGGATGTCGAAGTTGCGATGATGCCGATTGAAGAATGATTATGGATGGGTGCGCCACATAAATTCAGTACCGGTATTTGAATGCTAATTGGTGTTTGAAACATTAGTTCACAGCCCACGGGTTTCAAATGCAATTTTAGAAGGCCCGCGGGTCTAGATTAGCTTTGAAATTTGAACTGGTCCAATTGAGCTCGAGGGTCTTATTACAGCTTCGATGGCGGTCATGTCGCCGCAGCACGCGGCCCCTTTCCTATCTCCCACACGCGGTGACGCCCTCAAGAAGCGACCGATGGCGTCACCAGCAACCGCGGTTGAGAAACCTCCCAAGACTCCCGGCAGCGCCACCGTCGGCCGCAAGCGCAAGAGTCCCAGCGCCCAGCCAAGCAGCAATGCTACCACACCCGCCTCCAATAAGAAGAGGACGCGGCTGTCCATTGGCACGCCCGGCAAAGTGACACCATTGGCCGACGTACGTGAACGAGAAGTTGAGCGGACGTTCACAGAGCATGAGGTATCCGAGGTGTACAAGACCATCCGTAAGCAGACTGGAAGTCTCGGTGGTAACGCAGCCGGTGGAGCCATCTACGGAGAGATCACCCAAGCGTCGTTCCAGAGGGTAGTTGACTATATGAAGGAGAACTGCGAACTCTCCAAGACCAGCCGATTCATTGATGTCGGCTCGGGACTGGGCAAGCCCAACTTCCACGTAGCTGTGGACCCTGGTGTGCAGGTTTCGTACGGCATCGAGCTCGAGGAGCTACGCTGGCATCTGTCGTTGCATAATCTACGCAGCGTATTGTCGCTGGACTCGCAACGCAAGAAGCCTCTTGCGACGGTATTTACAGCGGGGGATATCACCCACGCTCACTCGTTCGAACCCTTCTCGCATGTGTATAGTTTTGATGTGGGCTTCCCACCCGACGTGATGGACAAAATGGCCGACATGTTCAACCGCAGTTCAGCTAAATACTTTGCCAGTTTCCATGCACCACGGAAGGTCGTGGACATGTATGGGTTTTCAGTAGAGAATATCGGACGAGTGGCGACGTCGATGGCAGGTTCGAGTGAGGGACATCAGTGCTACTTCTATCGGCGTGTGGCGTCGACTGACGAGGAAAGTGAATCAGAGGACGATGAGGTGTCGGTGAAGATGTCACCTCCAAATAATACCGCAAATGGCCCGCCGATGACGGTGGATCCTCTCTTTAGTAAGGGTATTGAACTTCTGAAGGGCGGCAGTGAGGGTATGATCGAGTGGATTGCCGACTTCTTCGGCCAAGCGAACGCTGGACGCACTCGCAGACAAAAGCGTGAGCTGCGTGAGCGCCCGATGGACTCTTACTACCCAACGGTCAAGTCACACGTAGCAGCGGGGCGGAAAAGCAACAGGAAGGTACCCAGGACAACCAAGCGCAAGATTAACCTTGGTGTCTAGACTGCCGTGTTTGCAATTACGCTGGACCCTGCTGCCTGTTCACAAACGAAATTACTATAGTACAAGCACTGTTTACGTGTAGTTATGGGGAACACAAACAGATCTATAGGAATACAAGCTGCATACATGCATTTTTACGCTCTATAGCCTTCTACTGCTCCGTGTCCTAGTTGCTATTGCTCTATTCTGTTGCTCGGCTAGCTTCAACGGACTCGACGAAGAGTTTCTTTTGCAGTGGTGTGAAGATGTCGCCGCCTGCGTGGATGCAGGAGATTAAATAGGTCACATCTTTACTCTCGAAGCGCTCCTCCTGACGGAACTGGTCTAGCTCGTCACCAAACGCAGTGGTGAACTCTTCCATGTACAGCTGTCGGAACTCGTTCTGCACGGTGGCGTCTCCTGCCGAAGCCGATTCGCTTGACAAGTGTTCCTGTAGATCGTGCTCAGCCGACGCAAGCAGCTCGTGACTAGCATGTGCCGTCTTCCGTACGACACCCATACGCGCGTACTTCTTGGCGGCGTCTTCCGCCTCGTCCCCAGCCGCTACGAGGTCCTGCAGCAGCAATGTGGTAGCTTCATCCTGTTCGTCCTCCTCACTCTCCATATCTTCATCCTCACCGTGGTGACCATTTTGGCTGTGACTGTACGCATTCTTCAGCGTCTTTTGGAGTTTAGACAGCGTTGCAGTCGCCTCCAGACTCTTGGCAATGAGTTCCGCACAACGGACGCATTTATCCGTGGCTTCACTAAGCAATATCTGTCTCTGTTCGTCGTTCTCAGTCCCCGTAACAGCTGCAGAGGCGTCCTCCACTCGTGCGCACACTCCGCTAGAAGCCTTGAAGGCGTCCTCGCCCAGCGCCGCGATCAGGCGGTCATAGCGTGCCACAAGCCGTGCAGCCTTGTCCTCCATGAATGTTTTGAGTGGCTGTGCCGAAAAAAAATGAGTCAATGGGTTGTTAAAACAAGGAAGTCCTTAATCGAAATGTTGTTTAATAGAGGGTAGATTTTTGCAAGAAAATTGACAAATGCACTTGCTTTGCTGTAATACAGTCCGCCGACCAGGTCAACCAAAGTCTTTGGTTCTAGAAGCAGCTTTACCACCCAACTGCACGGCTCACTTATCAAGTTGCAACAGACCACGAAGCTGTACGAAGGTGTCCGACAGTGTTCCTCTCGACACTTTTGCTGAGACACGACTTATTAGCGGCGTTGAAGTGTTAGCTTCAGTCTAGAATTGGCCGTTTGAAACCTAAGCGGCAGTGAGTAGTAAGAGTGGAAGAAACGGCGCACCCAGTCGATGGATACCGCCAATCTGAGCTTGTCAAATATGACACTGGAGCTCACGTGGCTCGCGAACCAAGCGGGTCTCGCCACGTCCGACCTGTGGACGTGGCTACGCCTGCGACTCGCCGTGTTCACGCGCGTTGGTGCCAAGGCAGCGCACAAGACGTCTCGTTTGGCTGCCGACGTGCGCGGCCACGTCGAAGAGCAGAACCCGTATGCAGTGGGCGGTGTAGCCACGCTGGTGGCCGTTGCGCTGTTGTTGGGCGTGCTGTTCATGTGGGTCGCATCCCGCCAGGTGCGGCCGCGTAAGACGCAGCCCAAGGTGGAGAAGCCGCCGTCACCTACGACCAAGCGACTACGCCACAACTCAAGACACTCCAAGTCCTTCTCCGACCTGCTGCAAGCCGAGCGTGAGCGCATGCAGGAGAACCGCCAGTTGGAACTAGAAGACCATATCACGTTTCCCAAAGAGCTGCGGCAGAACTGCGGGCCCGAGAACCTCAAGTTTATTTATGATACACTGTCCAAGGTCTTTTCTTTTCTACGCGGTGAATTTGTGGAGCCTCTTGCACGAGATCTGCGTATCCTACGCTTCTCCAAAGGCGAGACTATCTTCGACAAGGGCGAACTCGACGGCTCTATCCTCATGGTCGTCAACGGGTCAGCGTCACTGACGATCCATGGCGAGAATGAAGATCAGCGCTTTGCTAAGCTCTTGGGATGCGGTGATACACTCACGTCATCGTTGCCATTGCTCACGGTGCTTGTGAATGAGTTACAGAACGGAGAGTGCAGCGCTCAGGTGAAGAAAGTATGCGGCAGCTTGTCTGCACGAGCTGAAGAAGACGGCACGCGGCTGTTTAAGATTCCTACATTATCGATTAAAAAGGTGCTGGAGAAATACCCAGAAGCTTTTTATCGACTCGCACAGGCTGCTCTTATCCAAGTGGAGAAGATCACGTCAAAGTCCTTGATCGATCACTTCGGCTTATCGTCAAAGATCATCAGCGCTAGTCCACTCGTAGACCCGCTGCGTTTGGGTGTAGAAGACGCAGATAATGAGAACCCTCTGGTCAAGGAGTTTGTGGACAGTGTAGCAGACGCTATTGGCTTGTTCGACTCAGAGTTGCGCTCAACACTTGCGAGCTGTACGAAGATTATTAAACGCACGAAGAAGCAGACGATTCGTGAGGCTGGAGATAATACCAGCGCTCTGGGTGTACACATTATATTGGATGGATCTGTTAGTGTCCAGGTCGCTTTAACCCCGCAGAAATATGCGGAGCTGTATACGGCTACAAAAGGCTGTGAAGTGGGTATCTCGACGTGCTTTGTTGGGTCACACTACGTCGCCACGCGAAATATTTGCCTCGAAGACACGACGCTGCTGTGGATTCCTGACGCTCTCTTCTGCAGTTTATTGCAGATCAACTCCGTGGCTGTGAAATGCACTCGTCACCTGCTTGAACAGTACTCGGAGCTGGTTTGTATGGCCGATACATCGTTCGACTGGCTGCATCTCCATAGTGGAGAAAGTCTGTTCGATCGTGGAGATCTGTGCGATTCCGTGTTCACCGTTATTAGTGGTCGACTTCGTGCGGTTCAGGTGCATTCGCATCGTGGCAAGGAGGTGGAAACGAGCAACGAACTCGTTCGTGGAGCCACTTTAGGTGCGATGGATATGCTGTCAGCAGGACCGAGTAACTCGTCGGTGTTTGCGATCCGTGACTCGCAGATCTCGCAGATGTCGCGCAATGTGTTTGACTATGTGGTGAGCAAATATCCGTCCGTGCTGATTCATTTTACGAAGAACTTGGCACGTCGAATGCCAACTCCTCGTGTGGACTCGTTGAAGGCGGATGTGACTGGTGCAAAGTCTCGAAGTAATTATCTCTTATCTCTTGGCTCGAATTCGACTACTACGGATGGACAGAAGGCAGGCGCCAATCTGCCACTTGGTACTATTGCGGTTCTATCCCTAACAAAGATGACGAAGATCCAGACGTTCTGCTCACACTTGGAGATGTCGTTGAAGACGCTCGCTGAGGTAGAAACAGTATCATCGCAGAAGGCCAGGGCATTCCTGGGCGATCAGTGGATCAGCAATTCTCGCGTGGCAAGAGCAAACCTTACAGCCTGGATGGGGGACATTGAGAGCTCTAATGAGCTGGTGATCTACGAGGCTGACCAGCAATTAACAGCGTGGACGAAGTTGTGTCTACGTCAAGCAGATAACATCTTACTGCTCTGCTCGGACACACATCCACAACAGGCGTTTGTGAGCGATATGGTGACGATTTTGGAGGATGCGTGGGACAAGAGAGACGCCGAGATCAGCGTTGTTCGTATCCGTGAAAAGGACTGGACGTTGACTGCTGTCGAAGCTGCAGCGAAACTGGAGGCGAAGGGATCATCGCGTTCCTATGCATTGAAGAGAAGGCTGAGGCTCCAGATGGACAGTCCTTTATTGCCGCGTTTCATCCTTCCTATGGAGAAATACGAGTGGATTAGTGGATTCCACAATGTTCAAGTTCCATTTGAAGAGCATCGCTCGGATTTCATGCGTTTGAGTCGTCGAATCACCGGTAATGCTGTCGGTTTAGTACTTGGGGGTGGTGGAGCGAGAGGTCTTGCACATATTGGCGTTCTACGTGCTCTTCAGGAGTGCGGTATCCATGTCGATGTCGTCGGTGGTACCAGTATCGGTGCATTCATCGGTGGAATATACGCGATGCATCCGAACAACTTAGATCTCGTGGAGTCGAAGGTTCAGCAGTTGTCAGCAGGTCTTAGCAGCATCTTCGAGAAGCTGCGGGATCTTACACTGCCCATTTTATCCTTCTTCAATGGCACTCGCTTCAACCAGAGTATCCGTGCGCTCTTCTACGACTTATCTATCGAGGATTTGATGCTCAACTACTTCTGTGTGTCCACGGATATCGCCAAGTCACGTATGAGCGTCCACCGCAGCGGACCGGCGTGGAAATATGTGCGAGCATCGATGAGTCTGCAAGGGTATTTCCCTCCGATCTCTGAGGACGGTTCATTGCTGTTGGATGGTGGATACATGAACAACCTCCCTGCTGATGTTATGAAGGAAGAAGGCGGCATCAAGTACATTTTCGCCGTGGATGTGGCCAGCGAGTCTAATACCGACTTCTACGACTACGGTAGCGCACTGTCGGGCTGGTGGCTGCTGTGGAACAAGCTCAATCCGTTTGCCAAGACTGTGGTTGTTCCATCTATGGGTGATGTATCGGCAGCGCTGGCATACGTGTCGTCGGAGCAGCACAAAGACCGCATCAAGGAAGAATGTATTGATCTGTATCTGCGTCCTCCAGTTAAGGACTACGGTACTCTGGAGTTCAACAAGAAGGACGAGATCATCGAGGTTGGTTATAAGTACGCGTTGCCGCGTATTAAAGCATGGATGTCTCGGGTATTGGACGCCGAACCTGACGCCGACATCAAGCAGACGACGCCACCAGAGACTCCCGCATCGACGCCTTCCAAGCTCAGCATTGCTACTTAAGTCATTTTTGTACTCTTGTGTCTTGCGAGAGAGGTATAAGCTGGCACACGAGTAAATAAAAGTTGGCGCTTCGTACGCCAAGTTTTGAGTGAATACGTTAAGTCTATAAAGTTTTGTTACTAATACCTAAGCAGAGGAGAATGAGCTCTCGGAGATGCGTGGCATGCCGTCAACGCTATGAGACTTCACCATAGACATCACGTTGTCTTTTGCCGTGCGCAGGAACAACATACCGAGAAAAGAGAACTGTGTAAACAGTATCGCGAATTCGGCTTCGTTCACCGACCACTTGTCTTGCTGCTTCTCTTCCTCGTCGTCGATGTACTTGAAAAATACCTCAACGAGTGGCTCCGGGCATTCCAGTAATGTGAATGCCACTGAAAAATGTTCACGCGTAAGTACAGCCTTCTCAGTAATTTCATATGGGTCACTCTTCTCTTCATGCATTTTCTGCATTGCCGAAAAAACCATCGCTGCGAAGGACTGGTGGTGGTTCCGTAGAGCACGAACACCCGCACAGAAGTCGCTAGCACTGATGAAGCCATCGCGGTCTTGATCCAGGAACTGCACGAAGGATTTCTCGTCGATGTAGGGCGACAGACCAAGTCCCTTAGCTATCACGTGTGCTCCATCCAGCGGAATACGGCTGTGGCCTTCGACACACAGCTGTCTGATCATCATCTCGACGGTCTTTTCGTCCACAAGCGCTTGGAAATCGGCCTCGTTGTCGTCGAGAAGCAGTGAAGCCATAAAGGAGCCCATATTCTGAGACTTGCGGTCGATATTGAACCGTTGCAGCTTCGACATCATACTGGCACTGAGATCTCTGTCTTCCGCGCTGTCATCCCGGTTGCCAACGTCTCGTGTGATCCACGGGTGCGTTAACACTTCGTCTATTGTGATCCGATCCTGTACACGCACTTCAAGCATGCGCGCCACTAGCTCCTTCGCCGACCCAGATACGTGAGCCCAATCTCGCGGGTCAAACGTGAAATCTCCTCGGGCGATTTTGAGTAGTACCTCCACCTCAGAGTCGCCGAAGAACGGCGGATACCCCACCAGTAAGATGAAGAGAATAACGCCGGCACTAAACACGTCAGCAGCCTCACTGTACACGTGAGACGAGATGACCTCAGGAGCCATGTATCCGATTGTTCCAGCCATGGTTTTGCCTTGATCCAGCGGGTTCTGCTTGCCGTTGATCATCCGCGCTAGTCCAAAGTCAGTGAGTAAGATCTTGGAGTCTGGATCTTCAGACGAGAACAAAATGTTCTCTGGTTTAATGTCCAGATGAAGAATGTTGTGTGCGTGCAGAGCTTGTAAAGCTGATACCAGTTGCCGCATGATGTCGGCAGCGTCGGTTTCTGAGTACTTACCACGCTGTACGATCCGGTCGTACAGTTCGCCGCCCGTACACATTTCTTGAATGATATAAACCTTCTGATGTTCTTCATAAACCTTGTGGATCTTGATGAGATTCGGGTGCTTGATGTTGTTCGTGATGTTGCGTAGGATCTCAACTTCTGCTACCACTTGCTCGCGATTTCGGAACTTGGCTACATCCAGCACTTTGACTGCGTACACTGTACCATCGCGTTCGTCCTCCAGTTTCTGTACGACGCCGTTGCCTCCAACGCCCAGCACTGCTCCAAGTTTATAGTGTCGTAGCCATACTAGAATGTCAATACAGTCTGACAAAGCCACGAGCCAGCGCCGCTTAGTGGCAGCGTCTCTAGCTCTGAGCATCCAGGGTTTCTCTTCCAGCGCTGGCTTAATACTCAGTGTAGTTTCGTCTACATCCTCTAATTCTGCGTCGGCTGTGAGCATCACCTTTCTCTTGGGCTTGCTGTTCCTCCTGGTGCCACTAGCAGTAGCCGTTGTGGCGCTGAAAGCCCCTGAGTCCTCATAGTAGGCGAGCTGTCGTCCATCCAGCTCTACATAGCGTAATTTCCACTTCTTACGCCAGCGGAAGCCGCGCTTTTCGAGCGACCCGGAGACCACAGGTGCTTTGACCCAGAGTTCCTGGCCTCCGTGTCTCTCTGTGATGGTGTGGGGCAGTGACAGACGCCGTGAGCCACTGCTGGAAGATGAACTTTTGTCAGTTAAGTGGCGAGCGGGTCTCCTGTCGACGGGTGTTACTGAGCGTCTTGAAACGCTGTCGGACGAGTGTTTGCTGCGTCGAAAGAGGCTGCATCGAGGACTGGAAGCGTGTAGCGGAGACTCCCCCAATGTGAGACCGCTGGAATTGCTCAGCTCTTTTTCCATTGAGTCTTGTGGCTGAAGCCGCGTTGAGAACATCGACTATCCGGTGGTTGTTGGTATCAATTGATGAGGGTGTTGCTGTTTGCTTGAGTGGCTCGTAAGCGGGGAATTGTAGAATGACCAGGTGAAGTTCATGGTGAACCTCTGTTTATCCACCTTTTTTGCACAAACCGTCATTCAGTCGCAATGCGCGACAGATATCTGGCTGTTGATGCCGGATGGGCATGGGCGTGATCTTCATGTCGGATATTTGGCGTTTCTTCCTACTGCATCGGCTACACATAAATAAAAGCACGGGTTGGAGGGAGGATGCCACGACTTAGACGGCCGACGGATATTCGAGCTACTGTAGCTGCTATCCAATGTATGTAGACTACGCTGCATGAACTGCATCGGCGAAGCAGTGGCAAAAGGCTTCACGAAATAGACAGGTCTATTTGCAACCGGTTGATGCTGACGCGCAGGACTCGATTTTGCAGGTGACCCGTTGCCAGCGAAAAGACACAAGCTACGGAAGACATGAAATACGCGCCAAAGCCTATAAACTTCAAACGCAAGCGCGTTACCAGTGATCACGTGGGCCACTGTGCCTCGTTCGTGACGTCACGTACACCGCACAAGTTACCGCGAGCGTGGCCTGCGAACGTGATGTCACCGTTGAGACTTTATTGTGATATACTATGAAATCCAAAGTGTCCGCTCTAATATCCACTCCAAAAGGTGTAATATGTTCCATGAGATACCAGGAATTAACTTTTACTTCACAAATTCGCTACAGGTATTATTTCTCTCCCACTTGTCCAAAGGCTACATGCCTGTACGGGCGAAGAAACACTTCAGGCAGGATTGATGGACCTATATTCAAGATAAATACATGGTATGGATAATGGAAAGAAGTAGGGAGGTCGTTTTGCTGCAAGTTAGTGCGTCAGCAGCAGTGTGTACAATCCAGTCAGCGATTACTATACGAGTGTAAACATCAGATCGAAGCGGATAGGAGCCCAGCGTGCTTATGGCATGCGCCGCCTGCCACAAACATGTTTCGGGCTCGCAGCTCGAGTCTATCGGTAACTTAGTTGAGATACCCGATAAGGTCAAGCCCTGGAAACAGCGTATTGCAAGCGCATCAATATTAACTTCGTAAGAAAACTAACAGCGACTCGTGCGCTATTATGTACATCTAGAGTCGTACAGACCAAATAGTCAAGCTTTGCACCCCGTCACGGTCTATGCAGCTACGTGGGGAATCGCTGGCATGACGAACCGCAGTCGTTCTCGCCTTCTGTAAACTCGTTGCCGCTCCACCAGCCATCTTGGCTCGAAACTGAAGTTGTCACGCTGTCGTGCATCGAAATCGACGTGACGGGTGCGTGTCTGCCGTGCGGTTCGACACATGGAGATTCTCTTGTCGTGTCGCTTGATGCGCATTAATGTGCTTGCTTGCATCTTCGACTTCAACGTGCTTTCTCAGTTCTTGCAGATTCACGTGGCCGAGGCCTGTCGACACTCGGTCGTGCGCGCATTAAAAAAATAGGATTTACCCGTGACGGGGTCGTAGTATTCCGCCAAGCCCTCGTCTCCACCGTCACCAGCAGCTTCCGCCGCTGAGATTCGGGGCGTCGCGAACTCATCAGGCCTCTCCACACAATTCTCATTGGTCTGCGCATTATAGTAGTAATAACTAGCGCTCACCGCGTCAAAGTACTTAGCCCAACCGGGTAGCCCCACGCCCTCCTCACGCCCAGTCACGAAACCCATCGGACGGGCAAAGACGCTCTCCATCGTCAAGCGGTTGTAGTAGTACGGATAGCCACTCTGCGGATCAACGTGCTTCTCCCAACCATCCTGGCTCGCACTGGCGGCTGTTGACGGCGAAATACGCGGCGTCACGTACGTCGCCGGTCGATCGAAGGTGCTTTCTTGCGTCCTGATGTTGTAGTAGTATTGCACACCCTGCCCTTCATCAAAGTACTTGATCCACTCGGTCATGGCTGAAGCTTCGCCGTTCGACTGTACGATGAATCCTTCTGGTGGGATGTACGAGTTCTCGTCCGTCTCACGGTTGTAGAACCACTCTCGCTTGGTATCAGGGTCCACGTATCGCTCCCATGCACCCTGCACTTCATCCGGACGACGGCGTGGATGCATGCGGAACCCCCAACCGTCCATCTCGTCCTGCTCGATCTCTGATGGCCAACGAGACGGGAACTCCCAGTCCCCATAGTCTACACGTCGATTGTAGTAATCGTATAATGCTCGGAACTCATGCAACTTCCGTCGACCACCCGAATGAACTTTGGCCCAGCACTAGACAACAAGGAGTGGAACTTCTGATGAGCAACACGGTCCGTTTCATTGAATAGACCGACGCGAAGATAATATACACTTACCACGCTACAAAACATCTCGCCGCAGTCCTTACACTCCATCGTCGCCTCACTCGTTGTTGGAGATTCTACAACAGCAAGTTAATGATCACTATCGAACGCTTCATACCTTTTACTCAACCATACCACAGTTTTCACAAAGAGGTTTCGGCAGTAGATCCAGCATGTCTTGAGGACGCCGGAATCGAACTTCACCAGTGACTCGGTTCTGCGTAAGAGAAAAGTATACGATCAACAATCAAGCAAATTAATAAGCACATCAATAACCGTACGTAGTAGAACTTCTCTCCGTTTTCAGGTCGGGTGATCTCTTTCCACCGTTTCTTCTTGTTCAATTGTGCCTCTCGATATTTTTCTCGTCCTTTCCATCCACGGTAATGTGCTTGCACGAATGTGACGGCGTGGTGTTGGATCTTCACCAACTGCGAGATTTTCTCCATTGCCGTTTGCTTTAACGATCGCGCCTGCAGTCGACCGTGACGTCCACGCCAATTTGTTTGTACCATCAGCACCGCATCGACCAGTTTTTGCTGGTACAAATCTTTCGCTAACCGCATCAAGTTGACTTCTATTCGAGCTTTCCGACGCTTCCAAGCAGCTTGAAGCTTCACAGCCGCATCGTTCTCACGTTTCTTCTGTCGGACCATCACGATCACTTGGTTCGCTTGATATTTCTTCTTCGCGCGCCAACTCTTTTGGATTAAAGTTGCAGCTCGATTCACTTGTTCTACATACGCTCGCATGGCTCGAAGCTCCTTCTTTGCCTTGTGTCTTCGTACACAATTCTGCAACACCAAAGCTGCACGTTCTCGCTGAATTTCCTCGATTTTTAGCTCTTCACGCTTCAAATTTGCTGCCCGACGTGCCATTCGAATACGATAAACGCTCTGCAACTGTCTGGCAGCTTCAAACTCCTCGCGTTCTTTGGCAATTTTCGCTGCACGGAGCAAATTCGTTCGCTCTCGTCCTTTCTTGCCTCTCCAGTGTCGCTGAATTCGAATTGCACTACGTTGTAGCTTCTCCTCGTATGCTAAACGTCGTAAATATCGACTTTGAAGCCTCTCTCGCAGTCGCTTTTTCCTCCAAGAAGCTTGGATTATTCGAGCAGCACGTAGCATTTCTTCTTGATGACGAATCTCACGTAAACGTTGAGCTTCTCGTCTCACTAGAAGCTGACGATATGCGCGTTGAATTCTTGTGGCAGCCTCCGTCTCCTTGTAGAACTGAAGACGCAAGAGGACAGCATACTTCCGAGCTTGACGACCGCGATAGACGCTCTGTAAGCGTGTGGCTACCCACAAGATCAAACGCTCTTCGCGCTTCTGTTGTGCGATCTTTCGAGCTACCCGAGCTCTGTACATGCATTGGATATGAACCGCAGCTCGCCAGCAATTACCGTATTCCTCGATGAACAGCCAATCTTCAGCACGGTGACGAGTTATCATGCCTTTGAACTGATCGTTGCTGCTGTAGACTGCAAATTTCCACGACGAAGCCAGCGATTTGATTGAGAATGAACGAATCTTCGGACACCCAGTGAGGTCCAATGTCATTAACTTCGTGCATTTTTCAGCTAGCCATGATATTCCAGTTGCAGTGATGTTCTCAATGTTGCGAAGGTAAAGATTTCGGAGAGATGTAGCCATTACAGATCCAGTGAGTGCTAATAAACCCATGTCCGTGATTCCTGCACAGCCAGACACGTCGAGTTCACGGAGTAATGGGGAGTATTTACTGAGCCACTTGAGCGTCATATCCGATATATGTGTGCCTCGGAGACGCAGTACGTGTAGCTGGTTCGGTGTATTTCGTAACGGATTATGTTTTATTGGAGAACTTAATTGCTGGTGTCGACGATAATTCCCAACGAACGCTTGGTCTGTCACTTGATCGCACTCCGTCAAGTTAAAACAAGATAATTTGCTGCAATGGGTCAGGACGTCGTTAACACCAACGCTCGTAACGCGATAACACCCTGAAAGTATCAATGAAGCAAGCTCCGAGCATGACATGGCTACAAAATGTAACGTTCCATCGGAAATGGAGACACAATTCGACAAGTCTAAATGACGCAGCATGGGGCAACCAGCAACCAAAGCCGCAATTCCCTGTCGATACACGTCACCACCTGTACTTTGCGTAGTATGCAAGTCTGAGAGCAATGGAAGACCCTCTGCATCCAGATAAACCAGTTCTGGACAACCCAAAGACAGACACCGTATCCCTTGATCCGATACCTTCGCGCAATGCCGAATACTTAGGTGTTTAAGTTGAAGCATACTTTCGCTAATAGCACGCAGTGATAGATCCGTCAGAGCTGTACAGCCTGAAACATCGAGATAAGTCAACGCATTGCAACCAGACGCCAACCAATCCATCCCAACGTTGGTAACCATATCGCAGCCAGAGAGGATCAGAGTCTGCAGCACCAAACAATTTTCAGCTAGCGCCAGTAATGAAATGTCGTTGAATTTGTACTGCAGGTCAAAACGCGCTAAATCCAAAAGCACCAGACCGTTGACACCTCCAGAATTTGCAAGCGCCACGACACCAGTATCGGAAATTTGACGACAGCCTCGAAGCTTCAATTGTCGTATTTTACAGCAAGTCTTGCCCAAAGTTAACAGAACATTGTCAGTCACGTTTGCACAGAACGAGAGATCGAGTGACTCGAGTGTAGAGCATGCTTGGAAGACGCGCAGAAGTGAATAATCTGGAACTCGGTTACAACCAGCGATAGCAAGTGCTGCTCGAAATAAGAAAAAAAAAGCGTTAGAAAGAAATCAAGTGAGTTCGACAGGAAATACGTTTTTTAACAGCTCACACCGTAATGGGAGGCGCAGCTCTCCGATGCAGCTAAGAGCAGGACTTTGCAATGCTGTGACGTAGCTGAGATTGAGCGTTTCAAGACTTCGACAGCAGCTCACGATATGGAGAATACCGGAATCTGTCAGCTAAAAAATGTAAATTATTTAGACGATTTCAAAACAAACATGACTAGTTGAGTATGCGCTCACCTTAAAAGCCCGCTCCAAGTTGAGATGTTTCAGTTCTGGACAAGCCCTGGCAATTGTATGCGCTGTTTTGTCTGTGATCTACCACCACACATAGCAAATCGTCAGTCCGTGGATGGTTAGTTCAACAAAATCTACTTGGTCCGCACTTGATCTGCCCCAGCAAGGTTTATTCGAACAATGCTCTGTGGTTTTGGTAGCGCATTCATCGAAGCGTTATTGAGAGCCAAAGCACTAGCAGCGGATGGAAGCATCTCCGCTAACTGGTTGGATTGCAGCTGCAACCTCGGAGGACTCGCCAATCCAGAAACGACAGAGTCGTGAGATAATTTCGCCAAGCATGTATCAGACGCTACCACAGACCAAATCTACCAAAACCATTCAAAATGCAACCACATGAGCGAATAGGAATCATCCACCTGTGCACGACACTTACCGTCAAGTCTAGTTCCGTGCCAACGAGCACTTCATCCGGTATCTCTTTGTAAGTAAAGACTGTAGAAAGCTCATCTACCGCATGAGGTCTCCCCGTAGCTCCAGGCCCTCGCTTCTCAGGAGAAAGCGAGCTCAAGCGTATTCCATCGTGTGCCTTTCGCACGCGCGCTTTCTTGCTGGCCATCAAAGTAAAACTCGACAAGTCACTCACAGCTTAAAATATTTGTCGAAACTGCATCAGACTTGCAAAAAAACTCTTTTATTCTCCCTACCCATAATAATCGTATCAACAGACCACCATCGAAGGATCCCAGAAGAGAAACTACCCTCGGGATAAGGAAATGCTCTCGAATGACGAATGCCGCTGGATGCTCGTGATGTCCACCCCATGGCTGTCGAACACGGCTCCATCGAGCAGCTCGTCATCAGCGTCAAAGCGAACCATTCCGAACTCCATCCACTTCATGACCGTCACGTAGGCGATAATGTTCACTAGACTAAGCGCTCCCAGCGTCCAGTACATGTACTCAAAGTGGCCGTCATTAAGGTCATTGGTGATGTAGTGCTCGAATAGCAGCGTGAACGTTGACGTGAGATTACTACCCATGGCAACCATGAACAGATTGATAGCCTGACATGTGCTCTTAAGATACACAGGCACCTCTGTGTAGAACAGCTCGTAGGCTGTCACGTTGATCAGGCATTCGGCCACAGCCGTCAACACATACATGGGGATAGCATACGCCCAGTACGTGTGGTTCATCGGTTCTCCGGATCCATTGTTTGGAATAGTCTGAATTGTGCCATCAGCGTCCAGATATGTGATCGCGCCACTGTTTCTTCGGATAATTTCAAAGAACCCGGACCAAATCATCGTCAGCATCGCCACTATGAGCCCGGTAAGCACTTTACCGAACGCACTTGGTGGTCGTCCGAAGATCTTTCCCCATAGCGGATACACAAACCCGTCCAGGACAGGAATCAGAATGATGATCGTAAGCGGATCGAAGATACCTAGACTTGCACCGGGAACCTGTATCGCGTCCACATCTGTGACGTTATCGGCGCCCACGCGCAGGTCGCACTGCTGAGCGATGGACTGGAAATTGGCATCTAGCTGGTCGTACGCACACTCCCACATGATCATGAAGGACGCGAAAGGAAGCACTCGAATCACCATCTTGATCTCGTCCACCGTCTCGTCGTTAAACTTACCGCCGTTCGACGCCTTCGACTTGTCCATATACGCTGTGTTCATCCCGTATCGGATCCATGCGTACATCCCGAAAGCACAGCAGAGTACAACAATGTACGACAAATACTGTCCAACCGACAACCAGTCGGACAAAAAAGACGCCAACAAATTGAGTGGAAATGCCGACCCAAACGCGATCAAGCCGTAGTAGAGCATCCTCGCCTCGAAACTAAAGGCACAATTCCCCAACACGATCGTACATAACTTGGTGAGTGCGCTGTCTTGTGGTGCGAAATGGACGTATCTGGGGGCGCCAAACAGGAACAAAATGTATGCAAAGACCATCACTCCGCCACAGATGAAAAAGTTGGCAAAATATCCATACTCCTTCGTGATGGCCCCCGAGCCTTCCACACATAGTACCGACAGGTAACCGTATGAGAAAATGGCACCCAGATTAATGACGATGTAGAAATAACTGAAGAAATGCTCCTTCTGCGTGACCTCGTTGGGGTCGTTGGGGTCGAACTGGTCAGCGCCAAATGTGATGACGTTGGCCTTGATGGCTCCTGTGCCCACAGCCACGCCGGCGAAGAGACCGATGTGGCACAGAATGTTTGCGACCAAGTGGTTGCCGTGCTCGGGCTCCATAAATGTTGGGTAGGCCGAGACAGTGACCAGGAAGGCGCCGATAGTGTACCATATTCCGAAGACCCAGAGCGTCTTGAAGCGGCCCCACTTCTCGTCGGCAATGTAGCCGCCCAGCAGCGGCGACAGGTAACAGATGGAGGTCCACGTGCTCTTGAGAGAGTTGGAGCCGACCTGCGACCAGCCGAGCTTGCCCATGAAGTTCTTGAGGCCCTGGTTGATACCGTAGTAGCTCACGCGCTCGGCGAACTCGAGGATCAGGATGAAGCTGCACACATGGAGCAGCACGTTCTGGAAGCGGCGATTGCGCTGCTCCCACGGGCCCTCGATGAAGTACGAGGACGAGGCGCTGGGCGTGCTGCCCTGTTCGTCCAGACTGGACGTGAGCGGCGAGCGCAGCGCCGACTTGGAGTGCGTGGAAGACTGCGAGTCCTGCATACGCGCCTCCGGCGTCGCAGGAGCAGAGAGAGGAGACGACAACGCACACCGACACACTTGGCGAGCGCCGAACTTGTGCTGCCTTCGCTCGGACTTTTTAACTCTGGAGGGAGTTTGAAAGAGAGACGGAAGTAGAAAAGGGAGAGGAGGCAACGCGCAGAGAACGAACGCCAGGTTTAAAAGGCTCTAAAAGGAAAATGCTGTTAAAATCGAAAATGTGTTGAAGATAATAGAAGTGTATGGGATCAAATATGCTCCTTTGCTCTACATGTAAGATTTGAGAAAATGCTCTTCGAATTTGTACTGAAAAACGATTTGTCGCTAAAACAGAGCTGCTCTACAAGGCAGTTTTGGGGATGGGCGAACTTGGCCTTTCAACCAATCACTCGCCAAATCGCATACAGCAGCCTACATAGTGCTTTGGGCCAAAGTGATTCTCAATCAAGGTGAAGCTATTCAAACCATCGAGCGCAAGAGTACAATGCGTTCTCGGCATGGAAGCGTATGCGTACAATAGTGTTGTCACCTCCTGGCGTAGCTGTTCTCAATGCACGAGTCCTCACATATAATTTGTGGACTCGGCGTGTTCCACTCGTCCAGCATTGTCGATACTTGACGTTTGTATGGAGCGTTGGTTAGGGTCCCACCATACAGCGTTGTACATGTATCGTGGGTATAACGCTTTATCCAACACGCACTTGCAAGTTGCAACTTGCAACTTGCGAGCGGTATCCACGAATGAGGCGGCAGTTGTGCACGAGAAGGTTTCTGGCAAGAAGTGGCCTGCAGCGGTATGCCTCCCAACAGCGATCGTTTCCTCCCGAGCGTAAAACTTGGTGGCACGTGCAAATCTCGCGTGCGAACGGACCTCGACAGACCATTTGAGTCGATCCTGTGGTGCTGTACACCAGAAATGAACGCTGGACCCACGCTTCGAAGCAACACAGCCCGAATATGACCAGGGATGATTGCGCCGCTACTGGTCAAGTGCCACAAACGAGCAGTGTGATCATTGTGAGTACACCGTCCACTGAAGTTCTGCGCGACCAGCGAGACGGTCACCTTCCGCCATCAGCTTCAGACACCTGCTGGCTGCTCACAGAACTTTGTATCGAAAGAAGTCAAACTGTATCCGCGCTACGCTATCTGTTACTGCAGTGCCTTGTCTTCCAGACTCAAAGCAGAAATCTAGGTGGTCGAATCGCTGCAAAAGACCAGCGTTACATGACATGAACTGTGAACACGTGCCTAAAACTACCTTATTCACTGTAACGCGACCTTAAAGAACCCTTGCTTGGCTGTTTCATAAGACTGGAGCCTCTTGCCGGGCAAGTTGCCCGTACCGCATTTCGTCCAACGACCGAAACGCGTAAGATCCGAGGCAGTGCAGTGCACAAAGATCGCCATGCAAGTTGCAGTCGATCCCGTACTTTAGTCGATCGTCGTCATGTCGCGTCATCTGCCACGGCCACCTTGTCACCTCTTCAATCCATTCACCTCTTCAATCTGATACATGCTACAGTTTTACAGAAAAATAATTGATCTCCACTTCGCATTCTTCCACGTCGCTAAGATGACCGACGTTGGCGAGTGTCTAGTGAGCGAGGCCTTCAACGAGAGCGAGAGTGAAGCGGATGAGGAGAAGCAACAGACGATCGTGGTCATGGAGGACCTAGAATCGATTCCGGAGGACGCTCAGGACACACAGCGCTCCGCTTTACAGACGACGCTTGGCGTCGCTTCGTCCGCTGCGAATTTCGTGCTGTATCCATACGTTGCAGCAGGCAAAGTGGCCGTCCACGCCACGACTATGGCAGTGGCAGCCCCCATTTACCTCACTAATCATGTACGCGCCAGTATCGCGCAGTCCTGGACGAGGTCAGAGCAGGAAGAAGACAAAGCCGATCTGTTCGGGGAACACTCGTGTAGCAGCACAAGCTCCACCAGCAGCGACAATGAGGAGATCATAGAGCTGCTAGAGCCTTCACAAGAGCATGAGGAGAGCAGCGGGGTCGCTCAGTTGCTCTTCCTTCCAGTGCGACTGGTACATAGCGGTGTGTCCACAGCCGTGGCGATCCCCACACGAGTCGCTACGTACAGTGGACGCAAGATATCCGGCGCAGTATCAACGTCTCATCAGTTGGCTACATCAGCCGTTGTGGCCTCTACTGGACTCGTAGCGAGGACAGGGATGCACGTGGCTAGAGGCATCACACACGGTGCAGTGTCCACTGCGTCCACGATCTCTGGAGCTGTAGGGAAGACGGTGAGCTACGTGATTCCACCATCCGTCTCGAACGCCGTGTGGCAAGGCATGGATATCACTGGGAACGCATCTGTGAACGTGCTATCACATGCTATTGCTGTGCCTTCGTATCGGATGCTACGAGCGTTGGTACCTGCAGTGGAAAGGTGCTTTACCGAAGAAGAAGCAGTCGCTGAGACGCGAGCTACAGTGAAGATGTTGGTGAAAGTTCTGGGGCCTCAGAATGCCTTCTACCTGCTTAAATGGGTCTACGAGACGGTGAATAGTGAAGAAGCGCACGACGCCTTCTTGCTGTGTCGGGATATCCTGCATGAATCACTGGATGGAGAGAACTACCGTCAAGCAGGAGCATCAGTCAGTGCAGCTACAGGCTTGAACAAGGTCGTGCATGTGATGAAGGAAGCGTACAGCGTGCTGCCGTCATTGGACGAGCTGATAGATGCTGCAGCTCTAGTGGCTGATGTGTCGGACGAGGTGGTTGACGGCGTTGCCCATGCAGTAACGGGGAGAGAAGAAAACGCCTCTCGCTTCGAGTACGTAGATGACGACGACGAGCCATTGGCGCTTGGTCCCTTGGAGGTGACAGACGCGACGTTCGAACGTGAAAGCAGTGCTTCTTCTTCGGACGAGGAACTGAACCCCATTCTCCAGTCTAGCATTTCGATGCTGACGAGAGTGTGTGACAGTGAGGAAGCCTCGTCGCTTTTCAACGCTTTTGGTGATTTCCTGGATGTACTTGTGAACTAAAGTGCACAGAAGTAAATTTGCTATTGTTTCCAACTGTAATGAAAAATGCTGTAGTGCATGTTGAAGGTGGGACGCTGCGAACTGCGTGACTTGGGCGGACTCGTAGCTACTAGTTGGTCACTTGTCATTTTTCCGCGAAAGACCAAGATGCCGAGTTGGAGTCCCGACGATGAGTTTTATCTCGTTGCTGCTTTTGATCGTGCTCTACACGCGCATCCTCGAGAGTTGCTGATTGATCCTTCACCTTTGTTCAAGCAAGAACTGCACAAGTTTTTTGTGGAGGCTTCGGACAGTTAAAAGCGAAGCGTGAGGGCTACAATCGTCAAGTGTCAGCAGCTAATGAAGCGCTACAAAGCCATGCAAGTGGCAATGAGCCTCGGAGGCGAGGGCAGTTTTCGACCTGCTCATGGCAAAACTAAGCGCGGACCAAGAAATTGTGGTCCTCTTGTCGACGATGTGTACAATGCAATTTTACGACTGGAGCCGAAGTATCCAGATCAATTTCGTTACACCGGTGTCAGCTCTACTAAGGTTAGTAGCAGGGCCCACTGGGAGTCACGTGAACTCGAGCTGGTGGCGTGTGCTTATGTGGAGAGCATGGATCATACACCGGGACGCAGTCTCGGCAGCGAGGCTCTACATGCTAAATACATGGATCTAGGTGGGAGCTCGGGTCGAACCAAGAGAGCGACGCAAACAGCAATGCAGACGTTACTAGCTGCGCAACGATTTGTCTTAAGCAAAGGGCCCTGGGAATGGTGGTTTAGTTTGACCGATCATGATCAACGTGTGTTATCGGCCCATTGTAATCCCAAGGTGCTCACCATGCTACCACGCATGAGTCCAACGATATTCCGCTATCTGGATGAGGCTGCCAGTAGTCGGGAAGTTGGTGCTCCTAGCGGACAAGAAGCACGCCAATTACCATCAGGAGGCTCTATTGCCCGTGAAGATGTGGCTGTCAGCAGCGGTCCAGTAGGCGGAAGCTCAACGCCTAATTCGACGCTACAGTGTGAAGAGTATCAAGGAAGTAGCAGTCGTGCGTGTGACGAGCAAGAAGGTGAGCAACGTACCAACACAGCCCCGGCGTCTACTATCGCCCCGCTAGATCGAGTTGAAGAGAGCGGCAACTCAGAACGAGGGCAGGATCCTGAATTGTTGGATTCAATGAATAGAGAACCCAGCAAGCATCAAGTGCGCGATGTTGATGAAGAAGCCGAGGTCCTTTCGTTGGGGGTGAATAACGAATATGAAAGCAGAATGTCGGTGATGCAAGGCTTCATCGAGAAGGCGTTGGACGTGATCGAGGGTGCGAATTCCCGCATCATGGACTATCTGCTCAGCCAAAGGAAGGAGAAGAACAAGGCTATTGTGCGTAACGCCACCGCTGTATTGGAAGGTGATAACGATGCCACTGCGAAGTTGGAGCAAATGTGTCGGAAGCATTTTGCAGACGCGGAGGAACTCTCGCGATTCATGCACTCGCAGATGAATGCAAATGAGGATCAGGTTTATCGATCAAGAGAGCGAGCAACAGGTTTGAGTTTTGAAACTCAGTTTTTCAAGTGCATTTTCCTGTATATGTCGGGTTTAACAAACTTCCATCTTTTATCGTGCTAGTTGCAAATGTAGCTGAAAAGCTGAGGCTGAGGTGTTGGCCCGGGTCATTATTAGTGGAACATGTTATCATCATCATCAAGATGCTGCTTCTATTTAATGAATAGACGAGTTAGCCGTAGCAACTTGACATCTGCATGTACTTTCACATCATTTTTTATTAGGCCGACGTAAAGTCCCCCCAATCTTCATCATCCACAGCAGTTGCCGGTTCCGCCACTGTTGGCGGAGGCGCAATAGCCGGCACCTTCACTGTCGACGAAGGTGAGTCTCTCGGCGGTGGCGGGATCATCGGCACCTTGGCTGGACTCACTGCACTCCCTTCTCCGCTACTTCGACGTCGTGTACTTCTCTCTCCATCGTCAGCACCGTTGGTCTTGAGGTTTATCCGGATAGTCGTTCCTTGTGGCAGACTGAGGTCCTTCTTAGGAGACATTCCTTCGCCTACCGACGTCTCTGCAGCTTCTGCGGTCTCCTGCTCCACCTCCAGCTGCCGCAATGCATACTTGGCGTAGTCCTGCAGTGTGGCTTTGAAGTTAAACGCCGCGGTGCGATCTGGAAAGCCGATGCCCACGAAGGCGCGACGTCCGCTCTGTTCGTCCTCCACGCGCAGCATAAAGTAGCGCGACGAGTCCACGCAGTCGTGCACATACACGTCTAGTGCCAGCTCGCGTGAGATCTGCAATGGACACTGAGCGAATAGTGTGGGGGTTGCAGAAGCCTCGGCTTCGTCTGCTACAGGTTCGAAGAGCTGAACGAAGCACGCATCTCCCTTCTGCATCACTCGCACCGAGCCCGTGAGGAACGGATGCTCCGGGTCCCAAGCATCAGCACGTGGCGCCAGACTCGTCACTTGACCTGCCGGTACTTGGTAGAACCACACGCCCTTCTCGCTGAACAGCGAGCGTTCCAACTCGAACGCGTCCGCAGAATCCGTCATTGCTCGTAAGATTTCTAGGAGCTCGATTAAGATGGCTATCGTCACCGGATAAAATCTGTGAGAATGTAAATTGAAGTAAGTATAGATGCTGGCACGGATTCTGGACTTTGAGATTAGTAGATCCTGTAAATGTGGGATATGAGAAACTCTTTGAGCACAGTATTTGTAAGACCAAATGTAAACTTTTATATATCGGACATGCATGGCATCCAAAACTAAGTGGTATTGCCCATGCGTGCCTATCTACATCTCGTTGTAGAGTTCGCGACGGATCTCAGGCGTAATCTGGTGGTGGAAGTGCTGTTTCAGTAGCGGCTTCATGGCCTCCTTGTGTTGCTTCGGGATGTCGTTCTTGTAACGCTGTGCGAAGACCAACAGCGACTGGTGCCACAAGACTGGCAGCTTGCGTGTGTCCGACGTGAAACGCAGGAAGTGCTGGCTCAGTTCCGAAATCACACGTGTAGGCAGACTGTACTTCTTGTTGAGCAGCACGCGGATGAACATACTGTTGCCACCCGAGTACTCCATACTGGACAGCTTCATTAGCGTCGCAGCCGAGTGGATCACTGGCACCGACACCTTGGAAAGCACACTGCCGATAATAGCAGCTTCTCGCAGCGTGCAGTTCCTGGATTCACAAAGCGGGATAATGATGCCCTTGAAGAACGCCTGCGGCTTGTACAGCGCCTTCTTGAGAGCCATGTACAAGTGGAAGTTCAGGCGCTTATTTTCGTGAATATCCTGTCGCACGTGCTCGAGCAAAAAGATGTTGAAGAAACGCTGTGCCATCTTGGGGTTCAAGTTGGACGCGAACAAGCGCGTAGCAGCGCGCATGGCGTGCGGAGACCACTTCTCAGGGCTGGTGAGCCACAGGATGTCCTCCCAGTAGCTCAAGCTCGGAATCACTTTGAAAGCCTTAGGCAGTTTGCCGGACGTGTATCGCTGCAAAATTTTGCCCACGCCAGTGTACACTTCGACGATCTTGGGGTCAAATTTACTGTTTTGCGGGGCTTCGTCGTCCTCCATCTCGCCACGTTCACGAGCCTCCTTCTCAAAGATCTTGTCCATGATGATGTCGGCCAGGTTGCGACGCTCAGGCGCGCCCACCATGAAGTTGGCAAGGGCTTCTTCGTCGTCCTCGCAGATCTCCACCTCTTCCACGTAGTCGCCATTGATACGCACGAGGTCCTGGCCGTCGTACTCGTCCATGTCCTCGTCCGCTTCGGACTCGGACTCGTCGCTACTGTCATCGGCCTGTACGTTGGTAGATGTCTGTGCCTTATTTCTGTTGTGTCGGGCCTGCTCCTCCGCCTGCTGCTGCTTGGCCAGCGCCAACGTGCGACGGCTTAGCTTCTCGGGCACTACGTCCTCGGCCATATCGTCGTCTGAGTCGTCGACATCGTGGCGAGCATTCTTCTTGCTGCTCTGATCATACCACGGCTTGTTGTCATAGGCCAGCTGCTTCTCCAGCGGACATGCACGCTTGGGCTTCCCCTTCTCGGCCTTAGGCATCGTTTACGGAGCTGCTAGTCGAATGGAATGATAAATGGCTGCGCTGCGTCGACTGTGACCACCAACTATAATCACGAAAATAAAATACACCCGAAAATAACGAACTAATTTCGACGTGTTCTAAAATAATTCTATTTTCGGATGAATGTACCCATCTGAGAAAGATCGTGCTTGGCGAGAAGACATGGCAGACGCTGCTACTGCAGATGAGACCAGTGCTATCAGTAGTCGAGATAGCGAGGATGCCTTGTCACCGTCGGGCTATCGAGTGCGTGCTGGAAAGAATAGTGACAAGAATGCTGCAGGTTATTGACACGGATGACATTTGTGCGGGCAGATGAGCACCCAAGCGATCAAGTCGGTGGACGAGTTGCTGGCGAAAGACGCAGAAGACGAAAGTCTACGGAAATACAAGGAGCAACTATTGGGCTCCGCTGCTCATGGAGATCGAGGAGGTCCGATCAATACTTGTCAACACCTTGACCTCTGACATTGCTACATCTCATCTTCGTGTTTTGTTGTTGCAAGACGCTAATGACACTCGCCGCGTGGTGGTGGAAGAGTTTAAGGTCGAGTTCGAGGACGGACGAGAGAATATTGTGTACAATCTGGACACTTTAGAGGGAGTGGAGCACATGCGCACGACGCCTTTTGTCATGGCCGAAGGCTCTCGTTATCGATTCGTCATCTCTTTTCGCATCAACCAGGCGATTGTAAGCGGATTGCGTTTCCGCAATAAAGTCAAAAAGACTGTGCTGTCCACGAACGATGAGATCGTCTTGGGTTCGTACGCCCCGCGCTCCGAAAACTATGTGTTCGTCTTCCCTCGTCACGAATGGATGGAAGCTCCGTCGGGACTTTTCTATCGCGGCAAATACATGGGCAGATTCATCTTCGTCGACGACGATCATGTTGAGCATCTCAAGCTATTCTACACTTTCGGTACGTTGCTTGGAAGGCAATGCATAGATATGATGCGATAAGGACTGACACTTACTCATTTAACCCAACAGAAATTAAGCGAGGATAACTGCATTAAATGCAGTTATAACCTGTTATACGGTATCCCTTTCGTTCCAATGCAAAAGAGGTATTACTGAATCTTCTGTTCCTCCATAAAGCGCTTCTGTTGATCGATCATGTAATCGATTTCCATAATATCGTCAGCTTCCGTTGGGTTATTCGTTGGTGTACGAAGGTTATGCATAGTGGTGCTGCCCATGTGCAGTGGGATGAGATGTGTATCCATGTGCTTGGCTAGCTCCATAGCACAGTCCTGCATAAGTGAAACCTTGCCACGCAGACGTATGGGTAGGAATGGCCATAGCCACGACGTTATATACTTGAGGAAGCGTGTCAACGGACCAGCATGAACAAGACCAATTCGATCAGGGAAGTTGGCTACACACACATCCAGCAATCCACGCATAAGACGAAGATCAACTTGTGCCATACCCAATCCAGCCGAGTCTGTCACAATAGTGTACGTAGTGACTCCAGGCGGCATAAACCGTCGACATCCAAGCTCTAACAGGTACACGTGCGCACGGACCTCCGCTTCACGTCGACTTGCCATCGTCGTCCAGTCCTTCAACATCGCACGAACCCAAAGAATTGGGCGATTCTGGAAGTCGTAACCATACCAGTACATATTCCCCGATGCCAACTGAGACTTTACGTCATCCCAGGTGATCGAATCCACTTGGTAAGTGCATCTCCACTCAATGATACGAGCCATTTTCGTCACCGCGTACGCAAACGCACGATTTTTTACGCGTAGGACGCTGAAAAGATATTCATCCGCGAACACATGGGTCGCGTCAATATGTACGGAGGCAGCTTGAGCGATTGCCAGGCGGAACGAGTGCACCTCAGCTTCTTCAGCGCGTGTCAGCGTGATCACAGCGCGGTCCATGGAATCTTGCATGAGGTCTGTTGTTGCGGATCTTCTTCTATTCGCAGAATAGTTTTTAGACGAAGATTTAGCGATCGGGCTCCGATTTAAATGCAGAAGATCAAGTGTCTTCTCGCTCATGTCGCGTAAGGGTTGAGGAGGTTGGATAAGCTCTTCTTCGTGGTTCCGTGGCTGGAAATTGATAGAAAGAGTAGCCGTCGCGCCACTCAAAGTCAGCCATAATAATAGCCCTGTCACAAGACTGAGTTTGAGTGGACCAGGTAACAGCACAGTGGTGACGAGAGCGTTCAGCAGCACAAGGACGCAGCAGAAGCAGAATAAGTTGAGGAGCCGCATGTACTTCTGCTTCAGCTTCTGCACTTGTGCTTCCAATCGGTGACGATCCTGCAACGATCGTGTCGCTCGTTCATTCGAGACAACAGCGCGGCGCTTGTTGTCGTCTACGACATCGTTGTTCGAGGTTTCTATGCATACCTTCTTGTATCTGGTCGCTGTGTTCATCTGAAACGAGTTATTGTCGCTGGACGAGCATTCCACAATAAAATCGTGACGTAAGAGCTCGTTCGCCAAAGCCAAAGCAGTTGGAACACTATACGCTCCAAAGCGTAGTAAAGCTTGAACCCCATCCGTCCCTGAAATACCTTCTTCTCCATCCTCGAACTGCGCTAACAGTTCTTGAAACACGCTGTCGTGCTGCCACAACAAGTGACCACGACATCGCTCAGTTCCATCCTGCTGAATTTCCTCCGATTCACTATTAATTGTCATGACTTGTGTTTCCTTAACCAAACGATGATCGGTATTCAAGCGATACACTCTGTCCGCACGGTACACAAAGCTGCACGAGCAGCAAAATGGTACCAGGACGTCCTCATCCACAAGTTTACGAGCCAATACAGATGCTTCGCTCTCAGTAAAATCCGCTGCACTACCGTCTCCGAGAAGAATGCTCTCCACATCGTAGCCTCGAACAATTGCTACTTCTGTGTCGCTATCCGTCGCGGCCGCCAGCATCTCCACAGCTTGCTGCATGTCCAGCAGTGTTAGTGACCGTACACTCCCCACTATTTCCCTGCTGTCCTCTGTATCCATCAGCGACACCTCTCCACGCCAATTACTACTGATATTCGCTCTACTTCGAGCGCTAGCGAAGAGATCGATCCACACCTGCTTCTTCCCTTTGGAAGTGGCATCCACAAGGAACTCGCGGCCGGAGCGAAGGTCCTGTAGACGTACTGAGTGCATATGAGCGGAGGACACCACGATCCCCTCACAGCTCAATGATCCGTCCAAAGGCAACAGCTCAGCAGGCGGCGATGCCTTCGGTTTGCTGCGCTGCTTGGTTAGTTTAGGCTTCGGCTTCAGCTTCGACTTCGTCTTCTTCGAGGAGCGAGAGATTGCAGATGCTGCTGCTTGCCAAGCCGAAGACGGAGCTTGTAGCACCACCGCATCCTTCTCCAAAACAGCCACACGCTCGCGCCATACGTAGTGCGCGTCTCGGAGCAGTACGCGGCCGATGTCCATCTTGGAGCTACTGGCGGTATCGCTGAATTGTACCGCACTGCGATTGGGCGAAAACATGAATGTGATGTGCAGGAGTGATGATCATGACTATTTCAATGTAGCCATCGACTTTTTACGTTGTTCATTTTTAGTTATCTGGTGCTAATGGTTTTATTAGCGCTGGCTGTCGATGGGTGAGGTGGATGGGAGCTCTGCCGGTCGAGAAGTGGCTGGCTTCTTCGGTCGAATAACGCGCGCTTGGGGTGGGATCACGTTGAACGGTCCACGTGGAGCAGCTCTCTCTTTGGGCATAAGACTCATCTTGATATCTTGAATCTTCTTGGTGGCCTCCGCCACTTGCTTCGATTCAAGGACGGACTGTACGTTGCGGTTGCGCTGCAGCAATCTCTTCGAGTCCAGATTGCGCTGCTTCAAGTGCTCTTTGCGTCGACCGTCAATGCGCTTCAACAGCGCTGCCAGCTCCGCTTGCTGCTGCTGACGAAGTTTGGCTTCCTTGCGTGCGAAAGCACCACGTAGCTCGTCGCCCATCTTGGAGCGTTCGTCGGCTTCCACCTCATCTGCAATCTGTTTGATCTTCTGTGCCTCCGCATAACTTTTCTGCTGTGCTAGGCGATGCTGTCGACGACGCCACTCGATCAATTCTTTGGAGAATTTCGGTGGCCGCTCGAGGATTTCTTGCTGTAGTTTATCTTGGAACGCAGTAAGATCCGCAGCGTGTTTCTCGGTCATTTGCTTCACGTATGCTTGAGCCATGCGGTCGTACTCCTCCATATATTGATCCCAGGCTTGATTGAAATCGTTAAACTGCATGTTGTGGGCGATCTGGACGTCCTGACGCTCTGCAATTTGACGTGCTTTGAGCGACTTGGATTGGCGTTTAAATTCTTGTCGACGCAGTGCTGTTAGCTGCGAATCCGCGCGCTGTGCTTCAAGGTAGTTGCCGTCTTCTTCACACTTGAGACGATATTCTTCCAAGATCGCGATGAACTCCATGACTTTAGGGTCTGGACCGGCATGAAGTCGATCACCGCCAGTACCGCCACCTGCCAGTTCTTGCTCTTGCTGTTGCTGTCGAAGCACGTGGTTTTGGATGAGCGATATAAAATCTTCGAAGTTGATGATGCCGCTATCACCCGTACAGTCGTCGAGTTCATTCAGAAGCTCTGCATTTACGGCATTAGCAATCAGTTTAATATGAGCAACTTAGGTTTTCTCGCAGACTTGCCTTCTGTCGCATCTCGTCCAAGTTTGTCCAGAATCTCAGGAATATGTTCCGTAGAGATGTTACCCGAGCCATCCTCGTCGTACACATTGAAGACAGCTGAATAATGAATACACGCTTCGGTTAAAAATCTCCATCGTGATTCTTGACACATTACTGTACAGACCTCGCAGTGCACCGAGCTCCTCAGCTGAAAGATCCACAGGGCTTTCGCTGGACATGGCGAGGTGGTTAGTAGAGATGCAACAGCGCAATTTGACCAGCCCAGGGGGCTTTCACGTCCTCAATGCAGCTCAACTCGCTTTATGTCTTGTTGGCTTGCTATTCTTGTCAACCACTCTGACTGCCATCAAAACAGGAGCGCTGTGTGTGCCCAAAATACCAAACGACAAGACTCCAGGCACCAAATTGCAAGCCATTTGGTCCACAATGCCCACCAGGGTAAGTTCATTCCCTTGTGCTCGACATCTTCTATCTACAAAATCTAGTCCTATTCCCCATCCTTCTTGTCGTCCGTGAGTTCCTCTATATCATCCACATGGGCGAGCCACGGATGCGCCAGGCATTCTTCGGCTGTAGCGCGCTTCGAAGGGTCGTACCGCAGCATCGGACCCATGAACGATGCAAGAGATTCCGCGTCATGACGAGAGAAGTGATACTTTTCGATCAGCACTTGCTGCAAGCTCCAGAACTTGAGGTTACGGATACGCTTCAAGTCGCCCTTGCGGTTGAAGAATTCTCGTAAGCCTCGCTGGGATCCTGTAAACGACTTGGGCATGCGGCCAAGCAGCTCAATCATCTGAGCCAGATGATCCTCGTCGCGATTGAAGTTGCGTCCACTCTTGGGGTCAAACAGCAGGTCTCCAGTCAGCAACTCAAAGACGAAACAAGCCATGGACCAAATATCTGCCGACGTGTCGTAGCGTTTACCCAGGATAACCTCAGGACACCGGTACTGGCGAGTCTGGATATCGTTCGTGAAGTGTTTCGTAGTCCAGCAAGCGTTGCCCAGGTCACAGATCTTGGCGTCGAGCTTCATGAGGTTAAACATTTCGCTGTTGGCGAGTTTGTTGAAGCGCCTAGCCCAGCGGCCAAGACGTAATTGTAGTGGGTTCACTTCCAAGCTCTTCGTGTCTTCCGATGCAGCCAGAGGCAAGAGATTGATTCCCTGTATCACGACGTCTACTAGAGCGTCGTCGTTCTTAGAATTCTCCATTTTCTTCGCTGCACTCTTAATATCTTCGTTGCTGGGAGGCTTCGGAAGGAAGAATCCAGGCAGTGCGATACCAGAAGAAGTCGCTACGTTCAAGAAGCGGAGGCCATCAACACGACGTTCCAAATAGTCTAGCGGGGAGACAAAAAACAGAAAAGTGAGCAATAAGACAAGCTACAATAAGCAGAAATGAACGTCATACCTAGCACGGCATGTGTATATCTGGCGTCGAATTCCAGTCTCCAGAGTCGGTACTTCGCCTTGGTTGACGTGCTTTTTCGCGGAGAACTGTCTTCACGTAGCTTTAGCATTTTCTCTTCGATAGAGCTGATCACATCGTCATCCACGTGGTCCAGGTACCTCAGAACAAATGAAGTCTCCACAACTTCGTCTTCCGTTCCAACTGCCGAGTTAGTTGATACACTCAAAGTGAACTCACGCTCTTTCCGCTTAGAGCCAGCCACACGCCCCTCAGGAAGAAGCAGCATCACTCTCGCAGCAAACTCCGGAGGCAAATGTATCCAATCTTTGTCTTCTTCATCACCGAGCTGACCGACTTGATAATACCATGTCCGCGTTGAATCCGACGACATACAAGTGTCAGTATTGGCTCCTTGTCCCGTGAAATTTGACACGAAAGCGTCGTCAGCTGATTCATTCTCGGTACTACTGGAAATCGAAAGTTGCGATAAATTGTTGCTCAGCTTGTTCACAGAATTGCTGGTGAGTGTGGGGCGAGCAGTGCTGTCCATCTTGCCATTTGCAACCATATCATCCACCGAAGCCTCTCGGTCCACTGCTCCACCTTGTTTTTTCTGCTTTTGTCGCTTCTTTTTGAGCCGATTCTTCAATCGCTTCTTCTCCTCTTTCGACATTGGAGTTCCATCGGCACCACACGTTGGGGCAATAGTAGTGCCCCCATTTCGAGCCTTTTGACGCATCGTGCGGAATGCTTCCCACTGTGCCTTGCGGATCTTCGGGAGCTGCGGGATGTGATGTGAGAGCAATACGTTCTCCGGTTTCAAATCGGTGTGAATAATCTGACATTTGTCGTGCAGAAAGGCAAGTCCTTCCATCATGTCCCTGGTAAGGCGCTGCACAAGTTGCATGGGCACTCCTCTGTAGTTGTAGTATTTGATGAGCGTCAATAGATTGTCCCCCATCATCTCGAACACCATACACACGTGCACGCCGTTGGGTCCCTTGTGTTCGAACGAGTCCACGAGACGAATCACCTTAATGGCTTCCTGTTGCTCCACTGACTCATACTCTGTCCGTGCTGCATGTACAGTGCACTCTAGCAGCTCAATCTCGTCCTTGGCTGCCTCTGTGTAATGACGCGCGCTCTTCTGCACCTTCATGGCCACCATAGCCCCCGTCTGTCGGTCCAGGCACTTCCACACAGTGGAGAAATGCCCCCAGCCAAGCTTTTCCAGCACCTCAAATCTTGAGTTGTACATCTCGCCGACCAATACACGGTGGTAACCTCCGGGTTTGTAGCTGCTCTCACCTTCCTCCTCGCTCTCAGACGAATACTCGTCCTCTTCATAATTCTCCTCCTCTTCCTCTTCACTGCTGTATCTCTGGCTGCTGCTACCGCTGAGTGGTGAGAAGGAGCGACGTGCCGTCGAGGTGGAGCCTTCCGCGCTCCGGAAGGAGCCAGACTCGGCCTCCTCCAGAGCCTCTGGACTCGACGACGGAGTCGCCACTGAAGCAGCAGCCACTGGAGGTGCAGGAACCGCACCACGACCTTTTTTCTTGCGGTTGCGGGTCTTCTTAGCGGCTGGAGGCCCCTTCTTAGCCGCTACAGTACAAGATGTAGACAATGGGAATGAGATTAGAACGGATAGAATAAGAGAATATCGGCAGGCAGTACAGAAATGATATGGATATGTATAGAAGGAGAAGACAGAGGTGTTTACATACAGCTAGAGCTGACGGCGGAACGCGCGGCGGGGGCGTCCATGGAGATGCGTGAAGAGCGCGCCAAAGGAGCTGCTGGTCTTCTCAGTGTATTGGACCGACTGCCACCAACAACACGTGCAAATAGAAGATGAGCCAATCACGAAGCGCAACGTATAGTCTTTCAACCAATCGTAAGAAACTGCAACTTTTATAGTCCAACGGTTACTTCCACACATAAAAAAATGTGATATAGTCCATTCAAATAAGTTATCGTGACGTCAGTATGGATCAGACCGCTTACATGCGAGCTGGTACCGCCCCAGACCTCACCATTTAGTATCGAATCTCCCTCGCCGCGAATCACATATCCTGCTGCTTAGCTGTCGATGCCGAGATGTTTAAGATACTTGAAGCGAAGATCATGTGACGAACGAGCACGAGGCGACACCAGCACCTGCTTCTGCGATAACGTGAGCGACGGCACAGTCGACATGGTGCTCGAGCTGCGACTCAGCGGCGGCGAGACACTGCGACGCGACTCGGCTGCTGCCTGGGCCTCGTCAGCTTTCCGCTGCTGTGCCTCGACAGTGCGTTGTCTGGCTTCCTCCCGCGCCATACCTTCATTCTCAAGGTACTCGTTCTCCAGTTGAGCCTCATACTCACGCTCCATCTCGTCGTATACGGCATCCAAGTTACGCTCTACCATGGCAACAAACTCGGCACGAGTCGGCCACATACAGTCACGCTGTCGCTTGGAGTAGTCGCGGTGCAGAGGAATGTAAAACAGCTCGGCTTCTTCATTAAAGCGCACTCCTTTCTTCGGTGTATAGACATCGAGACTGCTGGATGAGGCTGAAGTTCGAGATAATGAAGAACGCAATTGTCTTGCGCTGGGTTTGGATCCCTTGCCTTTCCGCGAAGATTTCTCCTCGCCGCTCACAGCTGTGATAGGCGCATACCAGCTCGTGATGAACTGGAAGAAGCTCTTAGCGCCGCGTTCGCGCTCACTGTCGGCGTCATTCAGTCGCACTTTCAAGCCTTCGCGACGCTCCTTCTTGCGTCCAGTACTTTTCTCCAAGTCGCTGCGTGATAAACTAAAGCCCAGTTGACTCCAGTACTGTCTTCGAATAGCCGCCGAATCTTTTCGAAGCAAAGGGACGGTGGGTGCCAGTCTAGAGCCGTTGGAGGGTCTAACGGCCGCGTCAGGTGAGGCAGATGTGTGTCTTCTTTCTCTAGCGCTGCTGGGGCGATTGCGAGTGACGGGTGTCGTGCTATCTCGCGTGCAGAGTGTCGGGGAGCTGCCGCTGCGACGCGTACGCCCCATGATCGGACTGGGCGTCGACGGCAGACTCTCTGCATCGCGACTAGCGCCGTTAAGCGGGGCGTTCTTGCCGTTGGTTTTGTTCTTAAGGTTCCGACGCGAGCGTCTCCGGCGCTTCTCTTCCTCCACCGCCAGGTCGTCGAGGGGACACACTTGTAGTCTCGAAGGCATGGGCTTGACCAAAAAATGGTTCACGATGCCCGGCTGTGCGTCTTGCTCCTCGTCCCCCTCCGTGCTGTCGTCGTCGTCATCCAAGTCATCATCGTCAGACGAGGATAGCAGATGTGCGCCGTAGTCGTCGTCCAGGGCGTCGGAGCTCGAGTCCGAGCTGGAACAGGAACTAAAGCGGTCGCTGCTGCTTATGGTGGTGTCGCTCACGGCGCTGGCCTCGATGGGCGGTGAACTGCCACTGTTACTACACTTGTCCACGACGCCCATGTCCTCAATACCTGCCAACGCGTCACCAGACAACACGACTTCGCTTGCGCTCGGACTTGCCACGGGTGTGTCGCCTTGCATACTTGTTTGATAATATGGTGCGTCTATAGTTGTGAAACCAGGGGACGTCGTTGAGCGAGGCTGCGAACAATCGGCCTGCTGCGCACTTCACCTTATGAAGCGTTGCTCTCTCTCTCTCTCTTCTTCCCAGCAGCGAGGCGATTGCGCGAATGAGCATAAGTTGCCCAAGAAGAAAATCATCGGCTATGTAACCGTTATTGCACAGGACGAGTATACGACACAATATACGGATAGTGTATACAAACGCGGATTATTGGGTTAGCCCTTTCACAACCGCTACATGATAAGTTTGAATATTTCAAGTGATTTATCTATCATCAAATACCCTTTCATATTTGATAACTCGATTGAATCTCTCTGATCAAACAAAATTTCATTATGACTCGATTTCCCTCCAAACCGACGAAGTATTCACATTGAGGATGTGACTGAATGAGTTAGCTCTGCTTGAGGGCGACTTGGGAAGTACGAGGCTGTAAGCGTGCCTGAACAACTGTTACCTAAAATGCCCCCGGCAGACGACGAGGTACGGATCCTCTGTGCAAATCTTTGAAGAGAGATTGCCAAGCAGGGCAACTTCTCCAGGCAGGCCAACTTGGGAAGCGAGATGAGTGCGTGTCTTCTGTATACAATTCCGGATAAGAGGGGTAAGTATCGCAGGCGCGGCTAGGGATGCGGCGTCCTTTCAAATTTTGACTTGCACTCAGTATCCCAAGTAGATCAGCGGTGCCACTGTGCCAGCGAACATACACCCGCAATGACTTCTCGCAAATTGAAACATAGTGGATCGCTCCACCGGAACCGCGCGTCCTATTGCTCCTGGCTGCAGCATTGCTGCCAGCCAAGGAGAATGCTGGAGCCCTGCCAAGCTTGCCACTGCAGCTGATCTGCCAGCCAGCCGCGCTGATTTACGTGGCTGTTCTCTCCCACCCAGCGATGCAGTGCATCACCAGCTGCCTGGCAGGCAGCCTGCATCCTACAGCATGATGAAAGTACATGTAGTTTCTGGCTCATAGCCAGAAACTATGAAGTGTCGCTGTGGATGCTTTCGGCCACCTTTGCCGCCACTCATCGTTGTAGCTACTTTTCAAAAAAATATATATATGCTTAGCATGATACTTGTGTACACGCTCGCGAGATGTATTCCTCATATTGCACAGCGAAAAGCGACTTCTCCAGCATTTCTAGTCGAAATGGCTTCTATTTTTTTTTGTAGGTCGAAGTAGTTCGAAGTAGTGCGTCACGAGCTGCATCCCTCATGTGATTGGCTCAACGAGGTCGTCACTCTTCAACATGGGCCTGCCAATCAAGCGCGACTACGCCGCAATTTCTTTGTGTGACTTGTTAGCTTGATGGAAACAGGGAGTTCCCAAACAGCCCCAAGAACCTCAGTCGTTGATATCCTGTACTCACCGTTATCTACTTATCCAAACTACGTCGATGTCGTATGATCCTCTATCGCTCTGGCTTGCGTTGAAATGTCACGATCGGTTCGTTAACGTGATCACCGAGCGCGATCTCGGTGACAAACGCTAGATTTCTAGCTTCTGCTGCTGGGTGATAAACTGCGTGGGCTTTCCCGAATTAGTGCCTCCGTGACAACTTCCTTTTTGTTGGACTATTCGCATCCATTGCAGACCAACTTGGCCATGCTCGACATCCCGGTTGCAACGCCCAAATCTAAACTTAGATAAATGCATCGTAAATGTCTGATGCACAATTGCAGACTCGATGAAGGTCGTCAACGAGCACACGAGGCCATCTCGCCCAGCTCCACCACGAGATGGAGGCAAGATTATCAAAGGATTCGTACAACAGTCAGAGCAGCGTCGAGTTGCCTGTCGGTAAGATGACAATCTTCTACTCCACTCCGTTATTTATTGCTAAAGGAAATATTGTAGCTTTGCTCGATCAGGACGGGCATTTACCCCACGACCCCCAGTGCACCAACACACGAATACTCCACATCGGCCGCACAAAGATGACCGACTGGAAACTCGGTCGGGGACTCCTGTGTCTGGTTCGGGCAACCAAGAGGAAGAAAGCACGGCAGCGATAGTTGGAGGGTTGTTCACCTCTAAGCACGTACAGCGTAATCGGCAGATTTCGCTGACCCCAGCGATGCTCCCTGCTGCAACGGCCGCGGCAGCAAGTGGGCTGGGGGCGAACAATAAGCCAATATTTACATTCACAAGACGCAAGCTACAGATGGAGAGTATATCATCTCAAAATGCACCTGCAATACCAGGAGCCGCAATGCTGCTGAGTCCGTCAGCGACTTCACAGAGCATAGGCCACCGCTCAAGAGTCAGCAATTTGGCCGCGAAGCTGGACACTATTTTACGCAGCTCTCCTTGGATGCGACGGAAGGTCGTGGTACAGCCTCAGATGAACAGCCCAAGTCAGCGCGGGTTCTCTAATGTATCGTCGCATCGGCTGCTATCGAGCCATCCAGCTGCAACACCTCAAGTTCACGAGGCAATCGATGCTTCATCGGGCAAGGTAAATGAAAAACACTACAAAAATCGTCGAAAAAAAGGCTACAACCACAGTAGTGAAGACCAAAAAGAGATGGAAAAGCGAGTCATGGCCACATTTCGACGGTGTAAGTTCTTCGGTTTATTGTAACAATCTTGAAACTAACCTGAGATTTATTTTATTATTTTTACAGTTGTTCGACTTTGGCGTGAGCGGAAGCGTCGGTCGGAGCAGGCCGCGCTTAACATTGTAACTGGCAACGGCGGTGCTAAGCAAAACAATGCGTTAAGTCCCACAAAAAGTAGCAGCAATATGTCTGGACGACATGGTGTTAAGCTACGCCGCGAGCTTGATGCTCAGTCTTCGAATGTGGCAAGTATTCTGAGCCGAAGAATGATCGGGGAAGTACCTGCACTCAAATTCTTCGATGAAGGAGAGCCACCTCCTGTCGACCAAAATCCACACGAACCAAATTCGTTTGCTGCTCCAGTATCACGCGCTAGATCAAGTGACACTGACGACGAGGAAGACTCATCATCGCCCGGTGCGATTAAGCCTCAGGCTCGAACAGTTGGTGATATGATGGCATCTTCGTCTCTCAAGGACGGTGGTTTAAGGTCACCACTACGACGAGCAACGCCTCGAGGTGTTTGCTACACCCTTGACTCCTCAGGTTGCCGTCGGATTAAAATGCAGTCAGGTGCTCCAATTCAAATGATGAAAACAGGCAAGCACACGTCCCAAAATCGCAAAAAGAGTGAGGAGATCACGATAGAACGAGCTACAAGCAAGAGTCTACGGCGCAAGTACGTGTTGGGCGTACATTTGAGTCAGTACAGCAAATTGTAGGTTAATACTTATCCTATTTACGACAGGATGATCCGCCGTGTGAAGGTCAAACACCAGGCAATCAGCAGACTCACAGACGAATTCGCACAGTCAAAAAGTGCCTTGACAGCAAAGCTGGGATCCCAATTGGGTATGTCAAGCAGCGCTAACTTGCGTCGTAGTTTGAAACATCGCTTACCCATGTTGTGTTTCGACGATAGCACTTCGTCAGGCTGAGGGGGAGCGAATGTTCGGTAAACGGTTATCGCTGCACCTTTCCAACAATGCTAAGCTACCTCCACACATGACATCCAAAGAGTTAACTCTGGCCAGACTTCGATTCAAGAAAGCGAATCTACAGGCTTGTTGTCAGACGTTGTCAGTGCTTGGTGCCGCGCTGCATCACATTGAGACAGCAGGCGAAGTCAGCGGGCGTGAAATATCCACGGGAGAGCAACGATTTCTTGAACTCCTACGCTGTGCTGTTGAAGGTGATCACGCGTTGACACCGCTTCTTATCGATGGAATACGAGGACAATTTAGCCCTGAACAACGACAGAAACCTCTCGTCGCGGTGGGTATTTATCATCATGTTCGCATGATGAAATCCGAAACTAATTCAACACAATGCGTGCAGGGTCTTCTCGGATTGCTGGCACTTCCTACCGATAAATGAAAAATCCAAGAGAAAATCTGATGACCATGTAAAATTTTTACCGAAAAAGGTTAATTCGCTTGCTGTATGTATGTATGTGTGTTTCTTTTACAATGTTGCTCTTCCAGTTCCAGCCTCGATCTGCGTTACGTCCGGTGCTGCCGATCCCCGTTGACGGAGATCAAGTCCTCTGCCCGAGGCTGGTGAGGTTGATCCAAGACTGGCAGGGCTGATAGGGTTCGACCGCTTGCGGTCGCGGAGGTCGTCCAACAACAGTCCACCATCTTCCTCCTCGTCAACTGATGGGGTCAAGTCCATGTGCTGAAAGCGATAGACCACCACGCCCATGATAACAATGGCGGCAATTGCAGCAGCCACACTTCCTACAACCGCCACCCACACGGGCCAGCTCAACTCGGACATCACATACTCGTCGCTGTTTGCGAACTGCACAGTGGCATCAAACTGTAGATACACGCCTTCACATGTACCATTAGGCTGGTTACGCGTCTGAAGTACGTAGCACGAGTTAATAGCCGAGCTGTTCGCCTGCTTCGTCACTAACGTCACACCCTCGGTAGACCACGGGACCGAGTAGAGGAACGTGCCCGCTTTCATATCGCTACCACGCGAGCCGTCTGCAACGAAATGATACGTCACGCCACCCTCAGAGATGCTGAACGTCACACTCTCCGACGGGTCATAACTGGATGAATTGGTCTTCCACACTGCCAACAGGTTGCCACACTGCACGAGGCCGCTCTGGTGGAACATCCGGACAGCCAGACAGTCCGTGGATTGGCACTTATTGCCCTGTTTGAAGTAGATCCAGTCGCTAGCCACGTTGGACGCATTGAGTGTCGTAAGTCCCTGGCTGATTGCACACTGCTCGAAGCGTCGAGTCAGCGTCGTGTTGCCTAGACAGCGCCGTCGGTTCCGCGCCTGGAAGAGGTTGGAGCAGCCCACGAGGGTGCTTACGCACTTGTGACCGTCGGCGCATTGGCATTCGTCGTCATTGCAGAAGACGTCGTCGATCTGGATGCGTTTTGAGGAGTCACACACGTCCACGTCGTCCGTGCCGCTTGTGTCGCTGCAATTCTTAGCTAAATACCCACAGGCGCTGCACTCAGATGCGTTCGTGAGCTCCGCTAGAGTCGAAAACAGCACCACCAGCGATGCTACCCATAACCAACGATAGCGCTGTATCTGGCGCATTGGTTGAGCTATTAGACGCGCCGATTCGAGACCTGTAGACACCATGTCGAGCAATTGATCACGACGTATCCTGTTGTAGTTTGAGCGTTCTGATGAACTGCAGGAAGTGAACTGGACAGAGGTGTCAAACACTGAGGATCGATTTCGAGAGGTTATGTGGGACACACACAGATACGATCAATAGAGCACGCAGAGGTTTCATCCAACACAACAGCGGAGCTCCTCAAGATGAGCGCGAGCGTGGGCTACCGTCGCCGCGATGCGAACGCCTCGGACGCGATCGCGGCTATCATGCACCCGGATGAAGGTTTCCGGTAAGTTATCTGTCTCCACCAGCATTTGTGTTACGATCTGCAATTCGTTTGGTGTTTTTTAAGCGTTGAAACGTGGTCATTAATGCGACTCTTCCGGCATATTTTATATTACAGCGAGAAGCAGCAGCGGAGAGGAGTGAGACCCAAGGATTTCGAGCGCGAAAACAAACTGCGCGTCAAGAAATTGCAGCAAGAGAATCGAGAGCGTCGGAGGCGAGAGGTGCGAGGGGTAATGGGCACAGCGAGTTTTTTGTTTACTGGAAACTAAGCGAACGCCGAATGATTAACAGGAAGCCCAGCAACAGCAGGATTTTAAGCTTACGAGGTTCAAAAGCGTGCGTCCGCGAGTGTTTCAAGAGGATGAGGTACAACAACAAGGATCCAGTCTGAAGGTGCTTGGCTGACATTTGATTGGGGTTTGTTGCAGTCAACCAACGGAGAGCAGGTTAAAAAGCATGATTTTTTGCGTCGTGGTGGGCGACCTTCATCTTCATCATCACGAACATCTTCAGCACCTCGAAGTGAGGCTGGGTCCATATCTAGCTTCCCGTCTCCATCACACTCGACGACAAGTAGTGACAGTAGACGTAATATCCACCGCAAGGCACCAGTCCCGTCATTGAGGGAACTGGAGCAGAGAGAGCAGGAGCTAGCGAAAATGGTAAGAACTCGACGAATCAATGAGTTATGGCATCACTTTATTAACTAACGGCGTCTTGCTGTAGACCAAGAAGGAAAGCGTAGATTTTGTCAATGCTAACGCGTGGGAAGTTATCAAGAAGGCGCCACCCGTCCACATCGAGGAGCAGGCTCCTCGTCCTGTAAACCCCAACTACGGTCGCATTCCGCGGTATTTACTAGAACGCAAGGAGCAATGGGCACAAGAAGAGGAAGAACGGCGTAAGAATGCACCGGACCCAGACTGCCCTCCAGGGATGGTGCTACTCGACGAAGGTGAGCGCGTGCGTACACTGAACGTGCTGCGAAAATCGCTGACAGAGGCGCAACTACGCATGAACTCGCTGCCTCTGCGTATCGAGACTTTCAATCAAATCCGACGGAAGAACGAACTGGAGACGAAACTACAGGAGATCGAGGACGCCATCAAAGTGTTTGATCGTGCAAAAGTCTACGTCGCCGCGCCACTCTCAAGTGATCCAGAAAAGAACCGTGAGCGCACGGCGAGTACGGCTGCATAACCTTCAGTCCAGAACTAACGTGTACTTGCTTTGAATAGCTTACTTAGCTCATAGAGGCGAGGAAAGCCTCCACGTCCTCTGTATCAAGTTCGTTGAACTCTTCCTCGCTAATCACTGGCTGCTTCTTTGACTTGCGCTTGAGGTTGTAGCGGTGCCATTCGGACCGGAAGTGCTCTCGGTACTTGCTCATGTCGGCACTGAAGTCTCCACCGCAGGTGCTGCATGGTCTTGCCTTCTTCGTCTCACCACTAGCAGCCGCAACCGGTTCAGGTGCAGGTGTAGCAGTAGGAGTATTGGTCAGTCCAAGCCGCTCTGTCTTCTGTGAGATTTCGTCATCGATCGTGTGTTCGCCCTCCTGGTGGCTCTTTAGATCGATCACTTCCAGTGAGCCTTGACCAGCAGTTTGCTCCTGCACGAGCGAGTTGACGATACGGTACGACCCCGGTGTGATCAGCACGACCATCCGCACAGTCTCGCTGCCAGTCTGCTCGACAATCTCCGCTCCTTCCTTCAGCAAGCCTGCCTTAATAGCCTGCACTCCTGACGCGGGCGTCGTCACTTGAATTTTCATCTTGGCACGAGCCAAAGGAATGTGCTCGGGAAGCTTCTTGATCAACTCCAAAGCCTGCTGCTTGGCACTCCGGTTCGGGATAACAGCGTAGTGGATCTCCTTCATCACGCGCTCGATTACAGTGTACGGATACGGGCGGTTGGACGTGGGGTTCACACACTTGTCTGCTATAATAGTGGCGATATCACGGTACATGCTGTCGTACAATAACAGCACAACTAGTTAGTAAAAAAAAACTTCTGGAGAAATCTAAGCAGCACGAGAATGCCTACTTTTCGACGAGAGCCTTGCGTTCACCCTCGGAAACCTGCAGCTCGCCGTGGTCGAGAATGGAGCGACATGCTTGTTCTTCGCTCTGCACGCCGAATGCCTTGGACCAGTCGCTTTTCTTGGCGAACTTGCCCTTGGACACATTCTCGTAGACCTTGGCGATCTGCAGCACCTCGTCGATGTCCTCCTCCACGCCGTTGCGCCAATTAAACACCTTGTTCTTGTAGCACGCGATCTCGAACCGCTTGCCTCCCTTGCGCATGCGCACCACGGCCACGTTCGTGAGCACAATCTTGCCCACGGGCTGGCTGATCCTGCCACCACTCATGCTTGCTTTTTGTGTGTGTGTGTGTGTGTGTGTGTGTGACTTCTTGGGTTGAAAATGGCGATAGTTGTGTCGCTTTGATTTACTGCGATGGACGAAAAATAAGGATGACTTTTCGATTTTTTTTGTCGCAATACTTTAACGTTACCAGTAAAGTTTGTGAGCGAATCAGGCTGTGACACCAAAATGCGACGCCAGTTTTGAAGTGTCTCGCCTCAGACCAGCATTCCGAATTCTGCTTCGCTTCGTTCGCGCTGGCGCGTGCCGGCTTAAAAAACGCACTGCCGCTACAGCTACAGCCTGCTGCAACACCTGTAACCTACACATGGGCTTCTCTCTCGAGGTATGTTCCTTTGATCCAGCCGGGCGGAACTTCGTCCCCATCGAGAATTCGGTGTGCTGTTGTCGTACCCGTCCCATCGGTTGATCGGAAACGGGGGGCTTGGCGTCAAGTCGCTTGCCGACACAACGATCCAGTCACGCTTTGAGTTGACTTGCGTTGACGACAGCGACGCCGCCCAACGTTCTGCAACTTGCAGCAAAGAGCAAGATTGGCGCTTGCTTCCTGCGATCGGATGTGCTTGAATTATCAGACGAGGACAGGCGCGGTGCCGACTGCAAGTCACGAGCAAACACACGACAGGCGCGGCTGTCAGCAGGAGCTCCTTACATGAACGTGTACACTTTATCGATCGGCGCGCTCACATACTGATGCCAATACCGGAGAGAACCCGACGACATTTCCTGCCCATAATTAGTTGCTGAAAGGGCACGAATAAGGTTAATTCAAAACGACTGGTATCCGAGCACGTAGCGTGCGTCGAGCAATGCATGTGCTTGCAGCAGTATGGTCCACCACAGGTTGAACCACGTCACAAGCTGCTCGCCATCTGACGGGGCCGATCGAGTGCATGCATCTAGGAGTGATTGGGGCTTGCATGCATGTATACCGTCGGTACACCGGGCGATCATCATCAGCCAGCAGCTTTTTCCTCGCTCGGACTCGGTCGTGATGCGAGGCGTATGTACGTGTGATTCACACAGTGTGAAGCTCATGTCGCTGGCTGGGTCTTCTGATTGGCTACGGACGCGACGCCGCAGCTTGGCTCGCCACCACCCGTTGCCGGAACACGACTTAACTCTTCGCGCCACAAAGACTCAACTCGCCGTCAATGACGGCGTCATGCTTCACTCGCAAATCGAACCGTTTAGCCGAGCGGTGTGGCGAGTTCAACCCTCCGATCTGAGCACCGCTCCTGTGGCGATGGGGCTTCCTTCTCGCCAGCAGAAGCTTGTGGCCGGCACGAAAGCGAGAATCACAAGCATGCGCACTGCGACTCGCCGTCTGCGAGTGGATACCATCGCTGTGTGGTTGTGAAAACAAGTGCGACGCTGCGTGAGAAATGCCAGCTTGAATGATGGTGCCGGTCAGGCTTTGCACCAGCCATACAAACTCCAAGATGTGCGGTTTCAGTTACAAATTGGTGTGCATATTGTGTGTTTCAAGACGTCCAATCGCTGTAGCCAGCGACCGCCACCACCGACTTGCGCTTGTGTTCTCATAACCAGACTTGCAGCCTGACAGCGATTCCTCCAGCTCAGCGGTAGCTCGCTAGCCAACTACCATTTCGTTCTTTTCCATCCCCGCGGACGGCGTCTCGACTACCCCCCAATCCTTTATAATGAGCTCTCCGTGCGTCGTACCTGTGTCTCCTGTGGCCGCGCTCAAGCGCGCTCGCAGCGCCGACGACGACCTGCGTCTCCTCAAGGTTAGCAAGCAGGCCAGCAATACCTCGCCGCACTCTCCACGCGCCATGGCCGCTGCCGTGTTGGCTCAGCGTCAGCAACAGATTCTACAGCATCAGATGCAGCAGCAACAGACTCAACACCAGGAGGCCGTGTCGCCCTTCGTGCTAGCCTGCGGGAACATTCGCTACGCCATCACCTTCATCCAGAACTCGCGCCGCCACGCACTGGCCCTGTGCCTGCAGAACCAGTGGGAGCGTGCGCTTACTGTCCTCGAGAAGATCGAGCGTGCTAACGACAAGATCTCACGCCAGCGCCGCACCAAGGTGCGCGAGCAGGCCAATGCCAACCCCGACCGCATTTTCGACGCGCAGGCCATTCCGGCGCACCCGCCGCAAGTGCCCTCGCCCGTTAAGGCCCGCAAGCCCAAGCGCAGCGTGCGCTTCAGCGACGATGTGCAAGTTGCTGAGGTTGAAATGGTCGACCGTTCACCCGCCCCCATGCCTATGCTTATGCGGGATGAGATCCTGGTGCTGCGTGCCTCACGCCCGATCCCGCTCCGCAACTTCTCCGAGTTCTGGAGCGCCTCGTCCTAGGCTCTTTCCACATTCGTTCGTACATTGCGTCCATAGTCTGTAGCATCACTATTTATTGCCATAACTAGGAAAAGAATACACATATCGTGGCATATCAGCCGACACTAAACAACCTATTTGCACTTCCGACTATTCTTGCTGACCGTGGAAGATCAAGTTGAAGCTTGCTCGCGCTAAGGCGAAGAAAATCAGTGGCTCTATGCTCCATGGTGAACCTACTCGCTGTACTAAGCTTAGCACCCGAGCATCGTCTTCACCTGTTGCGACTGTGGCAACCGTGTCTGAATGCATTCAGCCAGCTCCTCGGCACTGTATCGCGCGGAGAAGTGGACCAAAACGAGTGTGCCCACACGCTGAAACAAGTTCTCGTGGATAGCGAGCTGAGTGGCAGCGTAACACACTCAGGTGAGTCGCGCGTTGCAAAACTGAAACATGCAACTTACCTGATCGAGGTGCATGTGCCCACGGGCTACTGCGTCTTGGATCGTCATCTTGGAGTCGGTGTATGTGGCCTGCAACGTCCGGAATAAGACAACTTAGCTGCTCGCGCCTCGTATTCAGTACAGTATCAGCTCGGGACATCTCCGCACCTCAGTGATGAGAACCTTCACTTGCAATAAGTCCTTGGTCCGCTCATCATCCGCCGCCGTTGTGAACGCCTCGATGGTGGTGTCGCCTGTGTACGCGATCTCGGGCGTAAGCTCGGCGCTCGTGATCTCCTTGCCAGCACGCTTGAGTGCCGCAATCTCTGCACCAGGTAGCTGCCGATACTCGGGCTTTAGGCGGTTTTTCTTCTCGTACAGAATGTAGCCGAGGCTCGGCACGCGGTGCTTGGTCGGCACTGCTCGCACCAAGTACTTGGCCGATATGTGCACCTCGTCGAAAGCCTGCAGCGGCACAATTTTGGCCGGGAATGGTGCATCACCCTGCATGGCAGCCGTGCTCTCCAATATGCTTTCCAAGTGAGGTGCGAGGTGGGCTGGTACGAAGTAACTGGCCGGCTTCTGCTTCTGCAGAGCTCTTCGAGCCGCATGCGCTACCACCGCGCCAATGTGATCGACATGTCCATGAGTGATGAAAACGTGCGATTTATTCACCACACGGCCGACAAGGCAGCCCAAATCGAACGCCACGTCGATGGAGTCCACATAGCAGCAGGATTCGATGCCAGCCACGCACCGTGCATGCAGCGTGTAGCCGCCTGCTTCCACCACTTTACCATTCATGGGTGTAGCCATCTTCCGTGGCGCAAACAAAGCTGTACCGTGGTCGACAGAAACTTTGATGCGTAATCAACTATATTACCGTGATTGATCTTGAATAAAGCCAAAGGTCGAGTAGAAAACAACAGATACTTATTTATACATGTAACTTACAAAAAAAAAAAAAAAGCAACACTTACTGTAAACTGCGGGGACAGCAGTTGATGCAGGTGAGTAGAGCTAACTTAGACAAGAACATCACCACACTGCCGTTTCCAGTGGAGCAGATTCTTTTAGCAGTGTATGGAAGTACATGCAGATACCGTAGCGAGCTGCTAGCGCACCATGCGCGTGGCAGTGTCACGAGAACCCCAGCCTCTCAAAGGACCATGGTGGATGGGCACCAAAGGATGTTCGCGTAGTGCATGGCATGCGCGCACATGTATCTCAGCCTGCGATTCGCAGGATTATGCTGATTATGCTGCCAAAACCTCCTCGTGGCCACGAGTATTTGCGAGCCTCACACATGTACTGAGAGTAGATTTTTGACTTACACACGTCATGTTGCTGAAAGCCATCACACAATGTACTATTGTCCACTGAAGTTTGCAGCCAACGTAATAGCGTGATGTAACTATTTTTCCGCTCTCATTTTATATTTTTTTCGACAATTGAAGTATTAATTGTTGTGGTAAGAAAATCTCATAATGTGCAATCTATTGCAACCAGATAACAACAGTTTAATACAGGATATAAATTTATAACGACAAAATGGATGCAAGTTGATCACTGTACCCACTTCTCTGAATGCGTGGTTTCGTGCGTCACCACTACCCACCATTATAATCTTCGCCGCCCACTGCGCACGTGCATCGATGGCTTCGAGCTTCTCTGTATATGCGCGACCGCGGCGCATTGCGCCCCGACGCATCGCGCTGGTGGTGGCTGTGTGCGTGTCTGATCTGCTGCTGACAGGTCTCGTATTCGGCTGGGCGCCGTTGCTCCTGCTATTACAGGAAGAGGGTCAGTACCACGAGCTGTGCGCAGATCCAAGTGAGCCCACATGTGTGGCACAGGAGAATCGCCTTAACCTCATCTTTGCTGTGGCCTCGGTGGCCATGAACGCGGGTGCGCTGCCCGTCGGCTTGTTCCTGGATCGCGTAGGACCCCGCGTGACTATCGTGGTGGCTGCCATCATCGAAGTATCTGGCCTGTCAATGCTGGCCATCGCGGACTCACAGACCTTCGACGTGTTCGTGCCAGCCTACGTTCTCATCGCCTTCGGAGGCTGCATCACCATGATGGCGTCGTTTCCGGCCAGCTTCCTGATCATGCGCTACCAAACGGCGATCCTTGCGGCCATCAGCTGTCTCTTCGACGGCAGCAGCGTCATGTTCCTCGTGCTTTACGCAGCCCATGAACAATTCGGGTGGACACGCAGGCAGTTGCTCCTGGGACTGGCAGTGATGTCTGCAGGCGTCTATTTGCTGTTGATTTTCCTCTGGGGGCTAAACGAGAAGAGTCTGCGGCCGAAGCGGAAGCCCGGCGTCAACAACAACGGTGTCATCGTGTCAACGCCGCAGCACGAGCAATTGCTGAATGGCCAGGCCAGCGATAGTGCGTACGGCAGTGTGGAGGTACCGCAAAACACGCCCACTCGGATCCCGTCCACACCTACCATGGGGAAGGAAGATGACGCAGCTTTCCGCCTTGTGGATATTGATCTAAGAAAGCAGATGAAATCGTTGGAGTTCGCGTACATCGTGGTGTATGCAGCTGTACAAGTTCTACGCGCGACTATCTACATTGGTACAGCAAACAAGCTGCTAGAGAACTACGGCGACCGTGAGCATGGCTACCTCTACACCAAGATCTTCAGCTTCATTCTGCCGATGGGCTTCCTCTTTGTCCCATCCATCGATTATCTGGTGGAAACGCGCGGTTTGTCGAAGGCTTTACTATTCACGAATGTGCTGGGAGTGCTTTACAACGTGATCGAGTTGGTGCCAGTTCTCCCGCTACAGTGTGTGGCCTTCTTCCTCTTTACCGCGTTCCGTGCGTTCCTGTACGCGATCATCTCAGCCTTCACGGCAAAGACATTTGGTCTCAAGAATATGGGCTCCTTAATGGGAATTATCTTTTCGATCGGCTCCGTCATAAGTCTGGCCGAGTACCCGGCGGTATATATCTCCAATGTGCTGTTTCGTGGCGACTTGACAGTGCTGAACGTGATCTCGCTACTGTCCTGTATGTTAATGATCCCGTTGACAATGTATTTGCGAAAGTATGAGCACGACCGCGAGGAGAAGCGCCGAGCAGAGATCGCTCTCGAGACTGGTGTTGCACATAACCACTGTGAGCGCGAGACGTACTCGTCGCTCATGGACACTCCGACTCTAGGTGTGACGTATCTTCGATCACCTGGTAACGCACCGCACAACGACCCATTCTCGCCTGAGTAACCCGCAGTATGATAGCAGTAGTTCTTAGAGGTAGGTAACAAATTGATCCTTGTCAACCACTTCAACTTCGAATGGGTACATGTGTCCTTCAAAGATAGCATCATTTGTCATCGGTATCGGGCGGGTTTCTTGCATTATACATAAACAGGACTGAAACATCTTCCGGTTCTACCGGTATCTAGCCGGTTTACCCTTTTTATCGATGGCCACGAGCCAGCCAGCCAAAGCCATCATTACGCGGATACCGCCTCGCGCAGGAAGTCAATCCCCCTAGACAACAGTAAACATGGCGAGCAGGTTCTGGGCAGGCAGTTCGTCTTCCGAGGAGGAGAGCGACGTCTCCGATGTGTCGGACGTCGAGACGTCGCAGCAGCAGGCTGCGCGCGCAGCTTCACGCTGGGCGGTGCAGTCGGACTCGGAGTCTGACGAGGAGGTGCGCGTCGTCAAGAGCGCCAAGGACAAGGCGCTGGAGAACATGGAGCGCAACTGCACGGGCATTAAGAACCACATGAAGATCAACGACTGGACGCAGATCCAGACGGAGTTTGATGAGCTGGCCAAGCAGCTTGAGCGTGCCAAGAAGACCATTACGACGCTGCCGGTCTTCTATCTACGTACGATGGTGGCGCTTGAGGATTTCTTGGCTGAGAAGGTCAAGAACAAGGCCGAGCAGAAGAAGATGAGCAAGGAGAACAGCAAGGCGCTCATTCGTATGAAGGGCAAGCTCAAGAAGCAGCTCGAGCCCATGCGCAAGCAGATCGACGACTTCCGTGCCAACCCCGTGGACTCCAGCGAGGAGGAGGAGTCGGAGAGCTCATCTGAGTCTTCATCGGACGAATCTGAGTCCGAGTCTTCGTCTGCTTCCTCATCTGAGGACAGCAGTGAGGCATCTGAGTCTGAGTCCGAAGAGGAAAGCAGCGACGACGACAAGTCCGGATCAGACGATGACTCGGACGCCTCGGACGACTCGTGGCCGAGCAATTCTTCGTCCTCCTCGTCATCTTCGGAGGACGATGACAACATGCCTAAGGGCCGTGCACGCTGGCTGAAGCAGACGCCCGTGGTCACCAAGGCCAAGAAGGTCAAGGGCCCCAAGGTCGTCAAACAGCGCGAGACTCGTCGTGGATCTGAGGATGAAGTTAAGAAGGTTGTCGTGGAGGAGGAACTCAAGCTCACCCCCAGTCAGTTCGACCGCCGTGTGAAGGAGGTGGTCGCTATGCGTGGTAAGAAGGGCATGGACCTGTCGGAGCAGCTCAATCAGCTGCGTAAGCTTGCCAACTACGCTCGTCGTCTTGGCCCTGCGCGTCAGATCGTGGCCACTATGTACCTGGTGGGTACTTCGGTGTTCGACACGTCGTCCAAGATTGACCGCGTCATGTCGGTGCGTCACTGGAAGCAGGTGCAGGCCAACGTGTGCACGATCCTGACTCTGTTGGAGAAGAACCCGGACTTCTCATTGGCCCCATTGACGTCCGAAGACCAGGCTGACATCGTCCGTGCTGGTCGTGAGAAGGTGACGGCTGCTCAGATCGCTGCTGCGGCTGCTGAAGACGCTGAAGAAGATCTGAACTTCGTCGACACATTGCCTCAGGCAGGCAAGAAGGGCATGATCAAGGTCTCTGGTGACTTGGCTGCGTTCGTGGAGCGTCTCTCGGAGGAATACACGAAGGCTCTGCAGCAGACGGACCCGCACACGAGCGAGTACGTTGCTCGTCTGTATGATGAGAACCTGCTGATCGAAGTGGCCGAACGTGTGCAGACGTTCTACGCCCGTAAGAAGGACTTCCAGCGCGCTGCTACGATGGCTCTTGTTCGTGCCGAGTTGATCTACTACAAGCACGACTCTGTCGCTGCCGCTCTGTACGAGGCCCAGGCCAAGCGTGCCAAGTACGGCGACCCGGTGTTCCTCCACCCTGCGTGCTCGAGCGCCAACGCGACGAAGACCAAGGAGTTCGACGTGTCTACCGTTCACCCTGCTTCCGTTATGGGCCAACCCAGCGTGACTGTGACGCCTGTGGACGCCGAGAAGCTGCTGCGTGACGTGTGCCGCTTTGTCTTCCAGCACGGAGACATTCGCGCCAAGACGCGTGCGATGTTGTGCCGTATCTACCACCACGCACTGCACGACCGCTTCCACGAGGCTCGCGACTTGCTGCTGATGTCGCACATCCAGGACAACATCACGGACGCCGACATCCCGACTCAAATCCTGTTCAACCGCATGATGGCTCAGCTTGGTCTGTGTGCGTTCCGTTGCGGCCTCATCTGGGAAGCCCACGCGTGCCTGTCGGAGATCTGCACGGGTTCGCGTACCAAGGAGCTGCTCGCTCAAGGTCTGCAGTCGTTCCGCTACGGTGAGCGCGACCTTGAACAGGAACGTCTGGAACGCCGTCGCCAGGTGCCGTACCACATGCACATTAACCTGGACTTGCTGGAGACGTGCCACTTGGTGAGTGCGATGCTGCTGGAGGTGCCGAACATGGTGAACGCGCGTCTGTCGGATCGCAAGCGCATGGTGTCCAAGGCCTTCCGCAAGCTGCTCGAGTTCCACGAACGTCTAGTGTTCGAGGGTCCTCCGGAGAACCCGCGTGACCACGTGGTGGCTGCTGCTAAGCTGCTGGCTCAGGGCTCGTGGCGTAAGAGTGCTGAGCTGTTGGTTGGCTTGCCTGTGTGGGATCTGTTCCCCGGTGCTAACGTGACGCAGCGTGTGAAGGCGATGGTGCAGCACAAAATCCAGGTCGAGGCTCTGCGGACGTACCTGCTGGCGTTCAGTGCCGAGTACGACTCAGTGAGCCTTGCTCGTCTTATGGAGATGTTCGAGCTGGACGACAAGACTGTGCACAGTGTTGTGTCCAAGATGATGATCAACGAGGAGCTCCAGGGTGCGTGGGACCAGTCTTCGCAGGCCATCGTGCTGTACAAGACGGAACGCTCGACGCTGCAGACGCTGGCAGTACAGTACTCGGACAAGCTCTTGCAGATCGTGGAGAACAACGAGCGAATGATGGATCTGCGCTCTGGTACGAGCAAGGAAGAGTGGGGCAACCGCCGTGGCGGTACCGATGGTCGTCGTGGTGGAGGTGGCCGGATTGGCTTCAGCGCCGGTAGCAGTCGACGTGGAGACAACCAAAGTGGACGCGGTGGCTTCCGTCCTCGTCGTGGAGGTGGCGCCGGTGGAGGCCGTGGCCCTAGGCAGCAGCGTCAGTAGAAAAGGTGGTCGCATGTTGAGCTACGCAATGGAATCCCGTGTGTATTATTCCGCTGGCCGATGCGATACAGTGCATGCTTCTTGTGAATGCAGCTATCAGCGTCAATCGCTATTATTTTTGTTTGCTTATTTTCTTCTTGTTCAGGCTACCTACCTCCAACGCCATGCTTACACGACGTATCGTCCAGCAACACGAAATTCATCAGATGAATTGGTACGATCTGCCACTGACTACTCCGTGGCAGCAACAGCACCCGTCGTAGCAGACGCGACATTATTCTCGCCATGACCTCCACGGCCACGTCCTCGACCACGTCCGCGTCCACGATGATGCCGTCCCCTGCCACCTCGGCCATTCACCTGGCCATTCTCACGAGGTTCATCGGAGACTTCGCCTTCTGCTGGCTTCTCATCGCCGTTACTTGTCGTTCTCTTTGCTTTCCTCCCACGTCCAGACTTCCGGCTAGTCTGCGTGGCCGTCGTCTCGGTCTCTACTTGCTCGACTGCATTACTTTCCGCCTGGTCCTCTCCTTCCTCCGAATTCCGTTCACGTGTTTTCTTGCCGCGTCCTCCATTGCTACTGGTGCGTCCACGACCCCGTCCTTTGCCTCGCTTGCCCCGAGTCGTCGGCGCACTATTGCTTGTAGCTCCTTCACCGGGTGATTGCTGGTCCGTCTCGTTCTCTGCTTCCTCAATCGTTTCCTCAACTTTAGTTGAAGTTTCTGCGTCTCCAGTGCCTCCACCATTGCGACCCGAGCGTCTGCTGTGGCCTCGTGACTTTCTAAACTCCCGGCCGTCATGGTACGTCGGCGAACCTGCAGTCACTTGATCCAGAGGGATGGGACTCTGGTATCCTGGGTCGTCACGGTCCAGCTCATCCAGTGAGAGCTGAATGGAGATACCAGGAATGTGGCGTGTAGTCTCGATGCGATCTAGTCCCTCTTCAAGTGGTTCATACACGTCCACAGTCTCAATGGACGAAATACGCGTCACTTGATGCAGATTGGCAACGCGGTGCTTAAGAATCTCCGCCACTGTCACTGCTTTGCTGATTGCGTTGCCCATGGCCTTCAACACCACGCGACGTTCGCTCTTCTCCTACATGAAACAAGAAAATATTATTCAGTATAAAATTATTTAACATAGATATTATGAAAGTGAAAAAAAAACTCACAGCGAAGAGTCCGTTGGCGTAGGAAATGTAGCTGCGCACTTTGCCCTGCTGCGTGATACGGATCTCGTTGGGTTCAACTTGCGTTGCCTGCTCCTCGCGGCGAGGCTTGTCTACGCGTCGGTACTTGTCCATGGCTAGAGATAAAGATACAGAGAGCA